CTTACTATATCTTTTCAGTAAATTTCCCTTTCTAAAATCTAATTGATACTAACTGGTTATATGACATTGGGGTACATTCATTACTGGTTGTTGAAACTGGAAGGACATATAATGGAAAATAGGGGCTCAAGCCAATAACATTAGAACAACCATACCACTGCACCTCAGGGGTACCCCTAGAACTCTGAAGGGGAGATGTTGACAACTGAGCTTGAAATGTCCAACCTAGTACACTTGTGGGTTGGCAGAATAATTACACAGTCTTACGCCACTGGCATTAAAATATTCGCATTTGAAAAAGTATCTCAAATTGTGCCCCTTCGTTTGCCACATTTATTCCAGACTGGTGGTGTCAAACTCAAATAGAAGGCTATATATTGACTTAGAAAACCAGAAATTAATATTACCTATATTTCATTGTGCTGTTATTTATTTTGGTAAACATTTCCCAATTCTATTTTAATCTGGTTCTGCCTCACTGAAGAATCACTCAGAAAGTTTTACAGGCAGCACATGGCTTGCTGACTGGGAGTTTGACATCTTTGTCTTAGATGGGTGCCATCTCTTGCTTACCTCTTAGATTTAGGGCTATGCAATAGTGCATTATTTTTAAAAATTTAGGTAACAAGACTTGAAATTTCATTGGGAGAGGGAAGTCCCAGGAAGGAAATTCTCTCCCTCAAACAGAATAGCAACTCCTCTGAAACTTATAGTCTTGGTTACCTGGAGGCACCAAGAGATGAAGGGGCCACTCTTCAGTTGTATTTGGACTCTGAGCTCTCTGACCATATGCTCTGCTGTGTCATGTCATAAGTGTAAGTGTTCCATAAGGCACAAGAATTAATTCAATGTTTCATTGGGTCCATAGAGCCACGACCTGTTGGCTTTTACCTATCACTGAAGGAACAGCTTATTGGGAGAGAGGAAAGGGAACAAAAAAAAAAATCAAAATCCATGTGGAATCCCTTGACTTTTTTATTCAGGGCTGCTATCTGTCTCTGGCACAGATGAGGGCACTTTTTTCATGTTCCCTCTTCCTTGTAGATGAGAATGATTGTATCAAATTGATGTCAGATCCTATTATCATAAGATGCTTAACTTTATCAAGGATGCTTAACTTTGTGACATGGCCTCATTTGCATATGATGAAGACTATAGACCCCTTCTCAGAATAATATTTTTAAATGAATGAAATAAAATATAGGATTACAGAGGAAACCAACTATGTTGAAATATTAGTAACAAATATGAAAAAAAAACAGCAAATTTATGGACCACAGGTTAAGAACCTCTGGTTTATTGGATCATAGATTTGTAGCTCCAAGCAACTGGAGCTAGGAGTTCTGAGAACTGATTGTTAAATCTTCAGTGTGAGCATTTACACTTTGGACATTTGCAAATGCTACAAATCAGGCCTTGATTCACTGTTTTGTTGATTGTCTAGACTTCAGAAAGTGGTATTAATAAAGCAGACTAAAGAACTAGATGGCCTCTTGAGGTTCCTTCCATAGCTTCTTCTCCATGATCCTAGCTTTTCAAGGTAGCCAGAATGTGCTCATCTGCTACCAAGCCCCACGAAGATTGTGCTATAATGGTTCCAGTTAAAAGCAAACAACAATCTGGTGGCTGTCAACCTCACTCTCTGCAGTCAATTCCTCAATCATTCCCCCCCACCACCTCGTTTTAAATACTTATTGACCAGCACACCCCTGACTTAGAGGTTGTCTAGATGAATGCCTTCATTTTGTAGGTGAAGAGATGAAGAAACTGAGGCCCAGAGAAGAGGGTTAAGTGACTCACCTGAGGTCTCACATGTACTGATTGTCATGGCCAGGTTTCAAAGTCAGGTTCTCTGACTCCAAATCCAGGATTCTTTCCATTGTTCCATGATGATACGCCAAAATAGATCATTGATTTCTCTTTACTTATGAGTAGACTCAAAGCAGAAGTTATTTTCCCATCCTAGAGAGTTAATAATATTCTTAATCTTTGTTGATTGATTATTGATTGAGAGAGAGGCACAGAACTTAGCACAGTTCCTGGCACATAGTAGGTACTTAATACATGTTTATTGATTGACTCTTGACTGTATAAAAGATGAGAATATGAATTAGTGGCTCTGAAAATTACTACCTGGGAGACCTTGATCATCACCTAACTTTTCTGGGCCTCTCTCATTTTAAAACAAGGTGTTTAGATGAGATGATTTTTGGGGTCCCTTCTCACTCTAAACCCTACAGTGTTAATACAGTCCTCTGAAGATGACTCCTAGTGGCCCCTTCCCACTGACACACTGCTAAGTCCCATCCTGAGTCACTGAATAAAGTATACAAATGAATAATTCCCAAGGAATCCTATCTTTGGAACCTATGCTTTCTGACAAGAATGATATCAGAGTTGTGCTCCAATTGGAGGGGGTTTAGGTAGTGAAGGGGAAGTACAGATATGAAACTGAATTCAATAAGTAACTTTTTTCATGAACAAAAAATGTATTTTCCCTTCCACCTCCCCTCTCATAAAAAAAAACCCCACCACAAACAAAATAACCAAATTCTCACATCTGGCCATGCCCCAAAACCATGTGTCTCATTCCGGGTCTTGGACCCCTCCCTCACACCTTTACTTTTCTGTGAGGCAGTGGGTAGCATAGCTCATTATAGGTCCTTTGAACTATGGTTGGTCAGGGGAGTTCTTAAGTCTTCCTTAGCTGTCTTTACAATGTTGCTATTATATTTGTATTTTCATTGTTTTCCTGGTTCTGATCACTTCACTCTGCATCTGTTCGAAAGTCACAGAAAATGAATACATGTCTTCTTCATCCCTTTGAGCAAGTTAGTACTTGGATGTGCTGATGAAATTTTCCTTTTCTCAAGTGGCTAGACTAAATTTCAGAAATGATTTCAGTGTGCTCATGTTTCACTAGTAGGGAAGGAAGAAATGGATATCTTCTAATTAGGACACTAGGCTCTAGTTACAATTTGAAATGAAAAGCAGTTCTTGGCACCCATTGGGATTATCTCTGGGTCCAACTTATATGCTGAGTGCCTGTTCTATAGAGCCCAGCAGGATTCCTTTAACGTGCCAATTAGACCACCATCACCCATGCAGGCTGGAGGAGAATAGCTGGGCCCCCAGCATTCCGGGAGGCAAGATAACAAATAATATAAACAGTGAAAAGATGTAAGAGGTCACAAAGGGTTAAATGCTGTCAAGCAACTCACATCCTTGAAAAATGCCCAGTCTCCCCTCCCTGCTACTAATCTCTGACAGACAATTAGAGCTTTTGATTTATTAGCAACCCCAGACACAGACCAAGTCTCTAAAGAAAAATGAAGACTTCAGCTGCTTCTGTAGCAAAGGCTACCATTTCCTAAGTAAGAAATGGGAAATGTGACTGATTGTTTTTTAACTCCATGACAATCAATCAACTAACAAGCATTTATTAAACACCTACTGTGTGCCAGGGACTGTGCTGGACCATGGGGATATGAAGACAAAAATGAAATAGACCCTTCCTTTAAGGAGCACTTGTGTAATGTTTATTCTGGGGGCAAAAACTTGACTGCTACTGGAAACCAGCATCAACCTCAAAAGCCAAGTATACCACCATGGCATCACTGGGCCTCATGTAATGATCAAGCTAAAGAAACATTGATTGCTTGGTATTTACGATTGTGTGAGAATTGTTGATGGTCAATTGGAGAGAATAATTAATGCTCCCATGTGCATACATAGTGCTCTGTTTTTCCCATGGAAGGTCACGGGTCTGGAAGTGGAAGGGACCTGAGTCAATCTAGTACAGTGCCTCATTTCACCCAATGAGGGAGCCAATGGAGGCTAAATGGCTTGTCCAAGGTTATGTAGATGACAAGTGCTAGTGATAGGATTTGGACAGGTCCTGTAACTAGTATCAGAGCCAGAGTCTTTTCCTCTGTAACAGCCTCTCTTCTTATAGGAGGCTCATAGCAATGTAATCATTATCTCCATTTTATAGATGCGGAAACTGGGGCTCTGAAAGGTTAGGAGCGAACTTGTAAAATACTAGGGAGGTTTTGGTTTTGATCCAATGTTTTCTTGACTTTCACATTGTGACACTGCCCTAAGATTTTAAGGCCCTCTGGACTTCTGGTATTCACCAGTAAGTTCTACTGAAGCACGCGTCAGGGAATTACAGGTTAGAAGGGTCCTTTCCTCCAGTCTGTTGCCTCCCCAGATCCAACACTCTTTCTGCCATGACCTATGGCCAGAGGGGAGGCCCCTGCTGCTAAGGTCTAACCTCCACCTGCCCTCATTCACAGAGTAGCTGCCTTTAGTTCCAGTGGTCAGAGCTGAGCTGAGCATTAAAATAAAATGCTTTCAAAAGCTAAGAAAGGAAAAGTGAGCTTATGTTACTGAGGAAGTATCACTGCTCGCCTGAAAAAGAGGTCAGCCGGTCTCAGTGGAAGGTAGCTCGGCTTTACCTTTAGAAAGGGAACAGAAGGACCCTGCTACTCCAACCAACCACTAATACTTTGAACTCCACAGTGCCTTTTTTTTTTCTAGAGACATAAAGTGCTATTTAAAGAAGTCTTTGGATACTCCAGTGAGGCAGCCTTGAAAGTGGAGGTTATCTGCATTCCAGAGGATCAGGGGAACCTTACAAAGTGACTTATTCAAGGTCACTCAGCAAGTTCATAAGTCCATAGAGGTTTGGAGTTGAGGGCCTCCAAAAAGCCCCCTGCCAGTCTGCCCAGCAAGGGAAAATCTGGGTCAGCACAAGGCAAAAAAAAAAAAATCCACTCCCCTTCTCTGCAGTTCTCCTCACAGAATGACACTAAATCCAAAGAATTCCATTTGGTAATTCAACAGCTGACTCTGACCAGATCAGACCTCCTGCCCTGCCAACCATCGCGTATCCTCCTCTTTAAGGTTAGCTGTTTCCCAGGCCCCCAGTGACAGCTGACAGGAACATTATTGGCTCAGCTTTGAAGTCATGTGAGGCCCCCTTTGTTGGGAGCACAAAGGTCAAGAGGAAGTGGGGTGAGGTTAGCAGCATCCACGGAGGGATTTCCATTATCCTATCCATCGCACCAACTGCTGGGCCTAGATGAGCCTCTTTCATAGGTGGAGAGTAAAAGTAGCATTGGACTCAGGTGAACGTTTTTGTTCGTGTAACAACCATGCTTTTTGTTGTCACCCGTGCAGACTGGCCAGCGCAGCAGGGAAGCAGTGACACGCTTATCCTGGCCCAGCCTCAGCTTACTGGCTTTTAATTCTATTCCTTCACACCCCCAACTCTCCCTAGCTCGACTCCTTGGAAAGCAGTCCTGATGCCTAAGAAAGAGAAATGGGGGCTGTCGAAAATGTTTACACCACCAACTTCTTCTGCCTCCAACTTGTGGCGTAGAGAAAAAGGATTCATTCTGGATTGCATTGCAGTGGACAGTTTAGCAAAAGGGGCCAACAATTTCTTGCCAAACCCGAATTGCGTCATTCCTCCTTATAATGCTCAGAAGGACCAACACCTAGTTAACTACTTTGCATCGAAGGCTTCATCTCAGCTTCATCAGGGAAGAGATTCAGTAAGTTTCTCATGTTCCCCAACTTTGTTCTCCTATTCTGTGTGTATGTGTGTGTGTGTGTGTGTGTGTGTGTGTGTGTGTGTGTTTTGCAGATCAGCACAGCCTGCAGATACTAAGACAATGGGTGATTCTAGATTGGACATATGCATATAGGATGTGAAGACATCTTACTCCCCTAAGAGCTCACATTTGGGAGTGATTGGAAAGAGCTAATTTTGTTTGAAAAGGGATGGGGATGTGTATAATGAAGACTTTTAAAAAACTGGAGCTGCCATTTCACCAGGCTAGCTCCTGATGGGTATCTGATCTGCAGTTTAATAATCTTAGATGCCTTAGGCATTGAGAGGTTCAAATGACTTGGCCAGGATCATCCAGCCACAGAGATGAACTGTCTGTGTCATGATCCAATACCAGCCCTGTAGACCCTCGGCACTTCTCCAAAATATCTGATGAGACCCATGAGCCACAGGACTTAGGTAATCCACATGTCCTTGGGAAAGACATTTTCCTTCTATGAATCACATCGTCCTCATCTACAAAATCAAGGGGATGTAAGCTTGACCAGCTCTGAATTCTTTGAGGCTCATGCTTCAGAGGAACATAAAGGAAGAGCTGGAAAGGAAGGGAAAGGCCTCTAGCCCATCTCCCACATCGTTAGCCCTGGGGACCCCAAGAGGTTAAGTCAGTTTTGACCAAGCTTACTTACACAAGAGAATGTCAGAGGCAGGATTTCAACCTGGGTCCTCTGACTCCAAATCTGGGGTTCTTTTTCTTTGGGAAATGAAGTGAATATCAATTCTCTCTCTGATGCTTACTGTCACAGACTTTGGGCAAATCACTTGGGGATTGGACTGGATGACTCATGAGGTCCCTTCTGGCTTTAGCTCTGTGACTCTATAATCCTGCAACAAGGAAACATTAAGCATCTAATATGTGCTAGGTGCTTGGTGGGGTGAGGGGAGCAGGGTGACTTATGAAGTTTCTTTCCAGACAACGTACCAACACAGTTAGCCACAAACATACAGGAAAGATTCAGTAGACAGTGTTAGAATAAAGTAGTGTAGGAGGTCTGGGGAGGAGGAGTTAATTACTTAGGGGAACAGGGACAGAGATCAGGGAAAGTTTTCTAGAGAAGGTTTGTTCAGTTCAGCTGGGCTTTAAACAATAGAAAGAAATTAATAGAATCAGAGAGGAGAGTCAGAGCTAGAAGGGAGCCTCTTCAATGGCATTTAGTCCATATCGCCCTACAATTGAGGAAATAGGCCCAGATATGGTTAAATGAGTTACACAAGATGCTACAGGTAGTAGGTTGTGGGTCTAGGATTCAAATCTAGCTCCCTTCCATAGGTGAAGAATGGGAAGAAGGGCATTAAGGACAGAGATGGGAGAGGATGATGACTTTTTTTTTTGGAGGGGAACTTCATTTGCACATTTGTACAGTTTATCTAAATTGTATTACATAAGTTCTTTTTGTGGTGCCTAAGAATTGGAAGTCTAGGGGATGCCCATCAATGAGGGAGTGACTGAACAAGTTGTGGTATATGATTGTGATGGAATACTTATTGTGCTATAAGAAATGACAGGATGATTTCAGAAAAATCTAGAAAGACTTACATGAACTAATGCAAAGTGAAGTGAGCAGAACTAGAAGAACATTGTGCACAGTAACAGTGATATTGTATGATGAAGAATTATGAATGACTTAGCTCTTCTCAGCAATATAATGATGCAAGACAATTCCAAAAGACTCATGATGGAAAGTAATATCTAAATCCAGAGAAAGAACTGATGGTCTGAATACAGAATGAAGAATCCTTCCTTCCTTCCTCTCTCTTTTTCTTTCTTGTCTTCTTATACAAAATGACTAATGTGGAAACATTTTACATGATTGCATATGTATGACCTATGTTAGATTGCTCACCATCTCAGGGAAAGGGAAAGGGAGGGAAGGAGGGAGGGATAGTTTTTGGAACTCAAAACTTAAAAAAGAGCCCAAATGTTAAAAAAAAAATTTTAACATGTCATAGGGGGAAAAAATATTATTTAAAAATAAATTTAATTACACAGAAGAGATAAGACTGGAATGGGTGTGAAAGGCCTTGCACGCCAGGCAGAGGAAGTAAACAAATGCAATATTCCTCTTCTTATATCATGCTCTACTATGAATATTTTGGTTGGCTAGGGGAGGCTTCATGAAAATTTGAATTAAAAAAAAGCAAAATGCTGAGTAAATTACTTTATGTAAAAGATTCAGAAAGTAAGTGACAGTGCATGAGGGAGCTAACACCTACACTTCAGTGTATGTGCATGGAATGGAGGTCAAGGTGGGAAGAAGACAGAACTAATACTGCCATGAACCACTCCTACATATTGATGTTAGGCTTTGATTATGTGTCAGCACAGTTTGTTCTTTCAGAGAAGCTCCCACTGGTCTTAAGTTATAGCCAAACCAGAGGCCTAACAACAGTGCTCTGTTAGGGCTCTGCTGAGTATTTTTATGGGTTTGCTCTTCCCTACAGTCTCAGATTCCTGTATATCCATTTTATCTTTGCAGTGGTCTAAAGAGGTAGTGGCCCAAGAGGAGGAAGAGGGGAAAGAAAAAATGGGACCAATGGCTCAACAATACCTGATGAGGAGGAACAGGGCAGGTGCAGGTAAAAGGAAAATTATCATCTCTCAAGGTCACTCTTTCCAAAGCAAGGATTTATTTAGTTCTGAATCTGACCTTATGAGTATTTACTTATAACTTTGAGTTGACATCAAGGTATGGATTTTTAAAGCCACATTAGGTAACTAGTTGGAAAGTAGGATGCTCAGGACATAGTATATTCTTAATTTTTTGAGGTGGAATTTGTGCAGGGCAGCCTACCTATGCTCTAAAAAATATCCCCACCTCCCATTGTATTTCTTGCCTTCTCAGTGAATAGGAAATGGGGTGGAGGGAAAGAGAGTTTAGAATTGAACATAATAATAAAAATTAAAATAAAAACAGAACAAATCGAGAAAAAAATCCCCACACCTGTTCAATGACACATTGCTGGGCTGGTGTGATACTCACCCTCTTCCTGAAATTCTACCTTTTTGGCTTATTTCTTTGGAGTAGGCAGTGCCTTACTCCAAAAGACCCCTGTTTTAATGCAAATATGTTCTCTGGGAAATAATAATACCTCATCCTATTAGCCCTCCTTATGACCTAAGTACAGGTCAGTTAGTATCAAAGAAGAATAAAGGAACTAATTGTAGGACAAATAAACTGAAGAGGAAAAGATAGAAAAGGGAGGACAGACCATGTTCAAGAATCAAGTATCTGGGCATTTGGTGCATTGCTGAACCATGAGAATATGGGTTCTAATCCAGATACCACCCATTTTATTACCTGTGTGACTTTGGGTAAATGATTTGACCTTTATGGGACTCAGTTTTCTTTTCTGAAAATTGAGACTATTGGTCCAGATGACCTGACCTTACAATAACATTTTTAAGCTCTAAATCTAGGCTCCTAAGAATTTTTTACTTGAAGTATATATGAAAGAAAAGAGGAGAGGGGGGAAGTGGGGGAAGAGGAGAGGGGAGGGAGGGGCATGGGAGAGAGAAGAGAGGGAGGATATGGGGGGAAGAGAGAAAGAGAAGGGAGGGAGGGAGAGAGAAAAAGAGAGAGGGAGAAAGAGGAGACAGAGAGAGACACAGAGAGAGAGAGAGACAGACAGAGAAAGACAAAGACAGAGACTGACAGACAGAGAGACACAGAGACAGACAGAGACACAGAGACAGATAGGGAGACAGACAGACAGAGACAGGCTGAAACAGACAGAGAGAGACAGAGAGACAGAGAGAGAGACAGAGAGAGAGAGACAGAGACAGAGAGAGAGACAGAGAGAGACAGATGAGATAAAGATGGAAGAAATGAATGAGAGACAAGAAAAGAGAAGAGATGAAAAAGCAGGGCAAGAGATGACAAAGAGAATAGAGATTTTAAAAGATTAGAGAAAGAAACAAGAGAGATGTAAAAAAACAAGAGAAAAGAAAGGTGAAAAATGAGAGAAAGAACCTAGGAAGATGGAAAAAAGAGAGAAGAGAGAGAAAAAGGAGACAAAAGTGAAATGAGATAGGAGAATGAGAAAGAAGAGAATCTTTACGTCTATCTTTCGTATTTTCCCATTCTCCCTTGTGCCTCTATCTACATGGTAACGTCACGCAAGGACCGCCGTGTGCTCTTCCTTCTGCGCCTGAGCCCGTTCCGTCTTTGGGCTGCTCCTGGACCTGCTCCTAGCGTCCGCTGTGCTGCCTCTGGTTCCTGGACCCAGGTTTCTTAGCTTCCGTGCACTGAGTCGACCACGCGCTGTTTCTCAGCACGCGTGACTGATCTGGGGGCAGGAGAAGCCTCACCGGCTTCATGAGCCTCCCTCACTAACCTATGCCTCCCTCGCCACCGCCCCCCATCTCCTTCCCAAAGCCTCTGTTTCCTCGTCTATCAAAGGATAGTGAATGAGATAACGCAGTTTAGTTAAAGGCCTTGGGAGCCTTAAAGTACTATACACAAGTGTGAGCTACTATTTTTACAATTCCATAGTGCTGGGCTACTCTTGACTGAATGCTTGAAGTATTTAAAGGTATTTATTTCCTCTCTTTGTGCAGCTGGAGACCCTTTGCTCCTGCCTCTCCCCAGCCCCAACCAAACCCTTCTGCTCCAAGGCAGCTGATTCAGGCTATCTTCTTAGGTCCATTGCCCTGAATATCATAGCTCCCCAGGCCCGCACACCAAGGATTCTGATGCCGTTGATGGTCTATTGCGGTGAAAGAATTTTCCATAGAGCCAAAGCCCTGGGTTTGAATATCACCATCCAGATACTTTATGAATACTTTCATTTTGATGTTGACCCAATTTGTTTGATGGTTTGATTGAATACAAACAACTTCTGATGATTCCCATGCCAGAAACTAGTTGTTTCCAGTCTCTTAAGGTATATTTGATTCCACATTTCATGAAATTGAGTGTATATTAGAAAGAAGCCTGGCTCTGACGGCAGAAGACCTGGTTTTAGATCTTACACTTGACACTTTACCACTTGCGTGACCTTCGTCATTCAACATTCCTGGGCCTCAGTTTCCTTATCTGTAAAATGACAGACCTGGGCTAGATCATCTCTGAAATCCTTTCCATCTATAGATCTATGATCTTATCAACTTCCTCTTGCTTTGAGGTTCTAGAGATCTGCCTAAGGGTCTAGGGGGCTTCTCTAGTACTGCTGCTCATGAGCCCCCCATTTAGCATGCTTCCCAACATCGGCTCACATTCTGATGGGGGAGGTAATATGTAAATAATTAGGGACATACGAGATACCCAGAGAGCAGATGGGAAATAATCAGAAAGTAGCAACTGTAATGATCAGAAAGACTTCCTGCAGGTCCTCTGTTATTGCTGCTGCTGCCACTGCTGCTGTTGTAATTACTTGTGGACAACTTAGCAATCGTTCGTATGGGCTTTGGTTTTCTTCAGGGGGAAAATATTTATGGTACGTAGGTATGAGACTTCTGAATTGTCTATGTGCTACATGCCTTTGGTCTCTTATTTCTCAAACCAGAGTCATATTTCCAAATATACTTTTTGCCGTCCTTGTCTGTGACTGCCTTCACAAAGAAGTCACCGAATATCAAAGTAGCTGTTGACTTGGTTTGGGTGTTCTCAAGTCCTTCATAGAATCTTTCTGCCTCTTCTATCCTCTACTATAGAAATGAATACATCTGTTACAGTGTTCTTTCTGGTCTCTCTCTTTTTTTTACTTATGTTTATTATGAGCTTTGCAAGAAGAAATGATGCATTATCCCATAAAATGATGCTTTTTACGTTTTTTTGGGGGGTACCATTGCATGAGGCAGGTGAAGGGAATAGAGTGTTAGGCTTGGGGGTCAAACCCCGCCTCACATATTTGCTAATGCTTTGTGTGATCCTGGGCAAGTCCACATAACATCCTCATTCTCAGTTGCATCATCTGTAAAATGGGGACAACACAAGCACCTACTTTAAAAGGGTGACTTTGAGGATTAAATGAAACAACACATATGTAAAGCACTTTTCAAACCTGAAAGTGCTATATAAATGCTAGCTATTATTATTAATGGAACCAGTTCTTTCCATGATACCACACTGACTGATCTCACACATATAGAATCTGCAATTAAACTAATGTTTATAGATGATCTAAAAAGTACGTGATCCTTAGCACTCTCTACTCTCCTTTCTGTCACTCTACCATGGCTATTGCATAAGTGGAAAGGGTGGCAGGAGACTTAGGGTCCTTTTCTGGCATTCTGGTAATGATCCATCCCAATGAGGATAGGTTGGCCAATGGGCTCCTGACTCCATTTCTGGGATTGCCCTCAAAGTCTTTCCTGCAGAGCAGGCCTTTCTCCATAGACTACTGGTATACAAGTCCAGTGTACGTCCCCTCACAGGGCCAAGGCACTGGAGCAAGGCACTGTAGGTGGATCCAAAAGCGAATAGAACTCACTGGGGTGGCACATGCGACTGTCAAATCAATCCTGCCAACTGTGTTTGTGAAGCAGAAATGTAGGAAAATGGATTATTTTAATTGCTAATTGTTCTTAAGGCCCCTAACAGGGAATTTTTAAAAATTGTGGTGCAAATTTCTTCATCTACAAGCGTAGCAAAGGAATTAAAGTTTATTCAGAAACTGACACTCTGCTGATTGAAGCACAAAGGAGAGTAATCAGGGTCGTTTTATTTATTTTTTTTTATCTGGCTTTTAACATTCACATAAAAAATTATTTCAAGGGCCAAATGCTAGGAAAAAATAAGTCCATAAACAGATTTCCCAATCAGTCATATGTCTCCATAACTTAGAAATATTCTCTCCACCCTCCCTTCTATTATCCTTCCCCATCAGCACCTAATCAGTGCCCAAATATAACTTTAATTATTCTTTTGTTTATGACACTAAATGATGTAGTGAATTTGTGGGGGGAAACAATTAACATTAGCACTGTGCTATTCTGAATGACATAGAACCTTCTTTCTGTGTGGTTCTTAGATCATGGCATCATAGATTTAGAACTAGAAGGGGGGGCCTCAAGAGCTTGCTGCAACCCTCTCATTTTAAAGACGAGGAAACTCAGAGGTGGGATTTGAACCTATGTCCTCTGGCTCTGGAGACAATGCGCTTTCCACTCCTCCGGGATACTTCTTTTATATAGTCAAACCCATCCTCATAATACACCTGGCCTAAGTGCCAAGGAAAGCCAAGCAATAACAACAGTTGACGTTGATTGGTACAAAGTTTGCAAAGTTTTTTAGCTCATTTGAGCCTCACAATAATCCTGTGAGTTAGATGCTATTATTACCACTATTTTACAGATGAAGAAACTGAGGTCCAGAAGACAGATCAAGTGGCTTACTTTAGGTATCAGCTCTAGGAGTACCTTCTTTAGGGGTCAGAGGCAGTATTTGAACCCAGTATTAATTTGAATCTGAACCCAGGACCAATTCTAGGTCCAGTACTTTTCTACTGCTCCACTGAATGGAGAAACTAAAATTGACTCTCAAATATCCACAGCCAGAGAAGAATGCCTTCTCAATTAGGGCTCCTCTCTGAGGGTCTTGTAACTGAATTCTAAGGAGACATATGATTACTCTTCTTTGTTCTAAGACTTGGGAGGGAAGTGACATCAGGGACTTTAAGCAGGATATTGTATGGACCAATCACCGCTGTTGGATTAATCAATCAATCGACAATTCTCAGGTTGAAGGCATGGTTTTTCCTTTCACCAAAAAGACTCCTCTTAGTTCCCCATGGGAAAGCTGATGATATGGTAGCAAAAACTTTATGCCATCCTGTGGCTCCTCATTCATTTTATGACTTGCTCTTCAGTCAGAACACACCATGTACTGCATTGGATATATTATTGCTGCTGACTTTCATGATTGTGGTTGGCTATTCCTCTTCCAAACTTCTTGGAAAGAATAGTCTAAAACTAAGCTCATAATTTCTCCCTCCCCCATTCCCAACCTGTGCCTTCATTTTTATTAATGATATTTCCATTAACCTTGTGTACACGCTCATATTCCAAATCCAAGTCATCACCAAATATGATTGTTTTTCTTGACTATCCTTTTTATTATTATAAGAGTGACGAAAATCAACAAACATGAATATTTCCATATACGAAGAAAAACTGTATGTAATAGTGTCTTTGGTTCACATACAACCAGAAAAAAAGGTTGTATGTGCCAAAGACACTATTACATACAGCTTGTTTAAACTAATATATGTATATATTTATATGTATGTATATATTTTAAATAATAGCTTCAGAGCTACCCTGCTTATTATTTCTGTCCCCTTCCAACTTTCTTTTTGCTCTTTTGTTTATTTAAAAATAATTTTATTGATATCTTTTGTTTTTATATCACCTGTTTTCCCCTTTATCTCTTCCTCTACTTCTCTCACATATCTACCTTTTATAACAAAGAAAAAAAAAGAAAACAATTCAAGCAAACTAATCACACAATTAAAAAGTCTGACCTCAAATGAAATGTTTCACATTGGAAAGATCCCCAACTTTTTAAAGGAAAGGAGTAGGTGGAGGTGTCCTTTCATATATCTTCCTTGGGGCTAGACTTGGTCATGATAACTTAACCACATTAAATTTTGATTGTTTTGTAATTGTTATTCTTTTCAATTACATTGTCATCATCATTTCATATATTGGTCTTCACATATATTTAATTTCATGTCAGTTGTTATTGCTTAGCTCCTCTTGGTATAGGTATATGTGATGATGGGTTTGAATATATGAAAACCAATTGGTTCAGAATAATTCCTTCCACAATTTGCTAAATTCATAACATTGGTTTCTTTTATCAGAATAATATTCCTTTACATTTATGTACCACAATTTGTTTGGCAATTTCCCAATCAATGGGCATCTTTGTTTCTAGTTCTTTGCTACTATGAAAAGTGCTGCTATAAATATTTCGGTATATATGATGCCTTTCTTTTTGTTTTCACCTCCTTGGGAGGGGGAGACAGTATATACCTAGCAATGGAATCTGTAGGTCAAAGGACATAGATATATTAGCCACTTAATTTTGAAAAATTTCAAATTGTTTTGCCGGAGTAGTTGTTATCAACTCAGTGAGATATACAATTAAAACTTTAGTTTGCCCATCTTTACATAACCCTTCTACCAATGATTATTCCATTTTTTTTTTACATATTTGCCAGTTTGGTGGGTGTGAAATTAAGGGTTATGCTGATTTGTGTTTGTCTTATATCATTAGAGATTTAAAACATTCTTTTATGTAGCTGTTAACAGCTTGCAGTTCTTTTTCTGAGAACTATTTGCTTTTATCTGCTAACAACTTATCTATTAAGGAATAGCTTTTGGTCATATATCTGTTTCCTGTATTTTGGGGATATCAGACCCTTATCAGAGATATTTGATACAAAGATTTTTCCCAGTTGATTGCTTCTTTTTTTTTTTTAATCCTAGCTATACTAATTTTGTTCTTGCAGCTTTTCAATTTTGTATAATCAGAATAATCTATTTTATCTTGTTTGGTTATGAAATCACCCCCTTCCCACAGCTACCAAAGACACATGGTTTGCTATTCTTCTTAGTATGATTTTAACATTCAGACCATATATCCATTGTTGTGAAATGTTGTGTGGGATGTTCATCTAAGCCTGATTTCTGCCAGACTACACTCCAGTTTTCCCAGAAGTTCTTGTCTGATAGAGAATTCTTCCAAGGTAATTGAGGTTTTTGTGTTAATTGAAAAGCTTTGAGTTTTTGAATTCACTTATTTCTGATTCTTCCTTGTCTGGTCTGTTTCATTAATCTACTTTTTAATATTTTAATGGCTTTAATGGTTGTTGCTTTATAATATATTTGAGGTCTGAACATTCCACTTTCTTATTACTGTCTCTTTTGCTATTTTAAGCATATTTCATTGATACTTTTCTTTCTTTCCCTTCTGTCTTTGCCTTGTCTCTCTCCACTCTAATACCATTCTCCACTCAGCTATCAAATTGATCTTCCTAACCCGGGTCTGCCACCCCATCCCACCCCTTCAATGGCTGCCTATTATCTCCAATATCAAATACACAATCATCCTCTGTTTAGCTTTGGAAGCCATTAATAACTTGACTCCTTCCTTTCTTGCATCTCACTCTCCCTTCTATTCTGCATCAAGTGATGCTGGTCTTCATGGTCTCCATCTCTGACTCCACGCATTTTCATTGGCTGTCTCACATTCTTGGAATTCTCTCTTTCCTCATGTCTGCCTCCTGGTTTCCCTGGTTTCCTTCAAGTCCCAGCTAAAATCCCAACTTCTACAAGAAGTCTTTCTTGATCACCCTTAATGCTAGTAGTGCCTTCCTCCTGTTGATTATCTCCAATTTATCCTGCATATATATCTGGTTTGTACACAGTTGCTTGCATATGGTCTCTCCCATTAGACCCTGAGCTCCCTAAGAGCAGGGACTGTTTTGAATCTTTCTTTGTATCCCCAGTGCTTAGCAAAGTGTGTAGCAAATAGTAGGTGCTTACTATATGCTTATTGTTGTTGTTTTTCTTGGTATTACTATAACTAACCACCTCTCCCTTCTTCTCATAACTTTAGTCTTCCCTCAAAAGCTGACCCTTGTAACAAATAATGGTAATTGAGCAAAACAAATCTACCATTGGCCTTGTCTGAAAAGGCAAGTCTAATTTCACATCTCCCTGCCAAGAATTGGAAATTATGATTTATCTTTGATCTTCTGGAGTCCTGATTGGCCATTGTGTTGATCATAGTTCATCAGATTTCTTAATATGATATTTTATTTTTTCCCCAATTAACATGTTCTTCAGATTTTCAAAGTTTGTTTTCCATTATAATGTTGTAGTCTGACTCTCCTTTTCTTTTCCCTTTTTTTTTTTGCCACCACCCTAAATCAAAATCCTCGCTGGTTCTAACCTGGCTGTTCCAGTGGCCTCTTTGTATCCTTAGCTCCAGTCTATCCCTCTCCTTCTGTTCATCTTAAGCATCAGTCTAGGTTCTTAGCATTTTTATGTATAATCTAGGATCATATATTTAGAGCTGAAAGGGATTTTGTAGGCCATCTAATCTCACTCATTTTTTACATAAGGGAAATTGCTTGAACTAATAATGGTACTTGCCCAAGGTCACACAAATAGTGACAGAACCAAAATTGGAACTTAGAGCCCCTGATTCTGAAGCCAGTCTCTCATTATATGTCTTATCTGCTCAATGTTCATTATTTATCTGTTTACTCCAGTGCCTAGCAGAGACTTTTACTGGTCATAGGTAATGAATGTTTGCTAAGAACAGATGAATGAATGGTCTTAAAACAGCCTCAATCTAATCTTTCCTTGTGGATTGTTCCTAGGTCATTCTGTGGAAGAGATACAAGGACACAGCTTTCTTTTTTCTTCTCTCAAACCAGTCCTGGGATACAATGGTCCCTATGGATACAGGAGGAACCGTCCAAATTTACGAAAGACACCTGCTACTTTTGGGATATTAACTCACCTGCCACTTCATTAGATTTACAACTAGGGGAGAGGGAGTTGTTCCTTTTAAATTGATCCTGTGGTCTGTTCTTGTTAATTTATTCACTTGTTAATTTATTCACACTGATAATGGTATGTACAGCCATGTAACATGACTGAAGTACACCGAACTGATACCCCCATTAAAGCAATAATTAACACCTTTTCTAATGTGTGGCCATTCCAAACGTAGCTCAAAGGAATCATTGTTCAGGTGGATGAGCACAAAAACTTAAGCTGGGAAAAAAAGGGAAAACAAAAGGCAATGATTTTCCATGCTAGATGATAGGACATTAGTCAACAACTGGGAAACATCACTAAATGCTCCCTCAAATCAACCACAGAAGAATTTAAGCATGCCATCCCATCACTTTCTGTGTGGATTATGTTGTAGAGATCTCTGGCACAGACCCCAAGGTGGGAGAGACCCTGGCACACTACCCGAAGATTTAGAGTCAGAATTTGGGGCATTTTGAACTGATGCTTAGGAATGCTGCCTGGGGAGCAGCTCAATGGACATATGGGTGGAGATAGGGGGAGGAAGGGAAGAGGCAGAAAGCAGAGGGTAGAGGGTATCCAACAACTGTTAACTTCCTAGTTTAATTATCCTTTAATATCTATGCTGCTGAAGGAATGGGAAAATGCTGTTAAAATGTAACAAAATTTTAAATTGCATAGTCTCTTAAAATATTCATTATTATTTTTTTATCCTTCACATTTTAGTGCCTTGAAGCAAAGTTCAGGTCACCTTACCTAGTTGTGGCTCTAGTCTTTGAAGATTTCTGGGGCCAGGTTTTTGGTATTTTCTGAGCTCTCCAAACCTCATTTTTTAATAACAATGATAATGCTTGCTAGCAAGTACATAGCACTTCAAGGTTTGCAAAATGCTTTACAAATATTATCTCATTTTATCCTCACAACAAACCTGGGAAGTAAGTACTACTATTATCATGTTTCAGATAAGGAAACTGAGGCAGACTGAGGTTAAAGTGACTTGCCCAGAGTTACTGCAGACTTAATTCTTCCTAGAAAGCCCCTCAGCAACATGACAATTTGAAGGTTACTCTTAATGTGAAATGGAGCAGTAGACAATTTTAACATAGCATATTCCCTTCATACCTCCCTACACAGTCACATCAGGGTTAAATGTTTCTGTCTGCTCTGCCTATCGCAAAAAGAAGAGTTTTTGTGATTTCTGTGTTTTAGTTCAATGTATTTCTTTTGTTGCTGTTTATATAAAAACTAGAGTTACATTTTTTTTTTTTACTTAAGTAACTATGTTTTCTATAAGAATAAGAGGCTTGTTCCTAGATGACGGCTCAGGGCTCTTCCAGCTTTAAATTTGTCTTGTGATTGGTCAATCAGCCAGCCAGCATAGATATTAAGTGCCTTCCATGGATGTTCCAAGCACTGTGCTAGAAACCAGACATACAAAGACAAAAAAAGAAACACTCTCTTGATCCTCGAACATTTTGAGTTCTATCCTATGTGAATAAACCTGACAAGTCAGTTAAGTTACTTTTTAATTAGGAACCCTAATGGGGGAGAATAGAGATCCTGACTAGTCCACAAAAGACAATCTGAAACTCACACGTGTTGTGTGAGAAGTGCCTACTCTGGATCTATTATATGCAGGTAGCCATATCCTGGCTCCAGTTTAACATTGGGAGTACCTGGGTAAGGAGACTCCTTGTTACACAGTGAATCCACTAAGTAAACAACTCACCTCAAAGACAGTCGAGATTATGGTAAAAAGTAGTCGTGGTGGCTGGACAAATATAAAAGACAGCTCTGGGAAGGGAATGAAAACTCACAGAATTACTATATACTTCTGAAGTCTGTACCTCTTCCTGCTGCAAGACGCCATATTGTCTGTCTGAATAATATAGAGATTTTCACCCACAATGACAAATCCGGGTGGGCTAAGAGCTGCTTCCTATTGTTTAGGAAATACACCAATCAAATAAATGTGTTCCAAAGACAGCAAGCCTGATGAAACCAGTAGGGTAAAGATTGACAAACCATTTGGTGTGGGGGGAAGTAAGAACTATAGAAACAAATATGAAAGACATCAAAGAGTCTCATTAAGGCATCATTCGGTTGACTGTATCTTTAGTGTCTCTGAATCAGAAAGTGTTAAAAGTGTTTCAAGTATCCAGAGGCCAGTTAGTCTCTCCTCTCTCCTCCCTCACTTCACTGGAACTTGAGACTCAGAAAGATTAAATGACTTAGTGAGGGAACCATATGACCTGTGAGATCACTAAATGACCTTTGGACATTCATATCTGGAAATGGAAGAGGTTGAACTAGATGACACCCGAGTTCCCTTCCAGCTCTGCATCTATGATCCGATGGTGATGATGATGATGTTGATGATAGCTAACAAGGCACTTGAAGGTGAGCCGTACTTAAGAGATGGGGGAGGGGCTATCAGGGTCCAAGTTATTACACGGCAACCAGTATTCTCTCACTCTCTTCTTTCTCCTAAGCTGCCTTTCACACAAATGCTCCATAAATGTTGAACTTGACGTGAATGGCAATTGAAAAGGCTAAGGTGGGAAAACAAGGACTTTTTCTCCCTACCTTGCTTTCCCGCCTCCTGTGGTGAGTTGCCTCTCTACATTAGATTGCAAGCTCCTCGAGGGCAGGGACTGGTTTTCTTAACACAGTGCCTGGCACTCAGTAGGTGCTTAATCAGTGTTTACTGGATTGGGTCATATCGCCATACTGACTGGTAAGCTTGTTGAGGGAAGGAATTCTATCTTAGTTCAACTCTGTACCTCCTCCAGTGCACAGAACAGACTGTACTGTATTAAAAGTTAACAGAAATGGGCAGCTAGGTGATGCAGTGGATAGAGCTCTGGCCTTGGAGTCGGAAGGACCTGAGACACTTGACACTTACTAGCTGTGTGACCCTGGGCAAGTCACTTAACCCCAATTGCCTCACCGAAAAGAAAAAAAAAAGTTAACAGAAACAACTCACCCAGGAAAGAAGTGAGGCCAACCCAGCAACCCTTTCCCTTATGTTATATGCTTTCTCCTATTTCGATGGTCAGCTGATTGGTATATGAAACTATCTTTGGGAATGCAGGTATTTATTGAGTGTCATTCCTCAACATTGGAAAACAGTTCTAAGCTCATCTGGCTTTGTCAGTTTGGATGAAAATTTCTGTTGACTTACAATTAGTCAGGTGGTTTAGTGGGTGGTCCAGCCTCTTGTAGCAACGAGTGACAGCATACACTTCAGAAGTAAGTAATTTGTCTCCTAATGATTAGAAAAGAATCTAAAAACAAGGCCTTGGAACCCATAATTGACACTGTCTATGCTATTGCCTTTCATTAGAAAGGAGCACCAGATTTTGAATGAACAAAAGAGTGTTCAGGAAACTCAGTTTGTGGGCTTTGATGGTGATTTATGTATTTTCTATAACAATCATAATGAATTGTTAAGGTAATTTATAGTTTTATAACACAACCACAGCTGGACACACACATCACTATTTTAAAAAACCTGGGGAATGCAGAGGTTGATGGGGGCTATGTACAGTATGCCTGCAGAATTGTGCAGTCTACAACATCCGGCACAAGGTGACTGATCCATCTTACTTCACTAAGGACAGCCTCAGACCACTAGGTAGAAAAAAAGCTGGTGCAACAAGCCTGTCAATCATAGGTCTATCAAAAGTGCTGGTATTTATGTAGCAGTTTAAGGTTTGCAAAGTGCTTTACCTATGTTAACTCATTTGGTCAAAAAAGCCAGCCCTAGCTACCACTCCTTTATATACGTTGTTTCCCCTAACAGAATGTAAGCTTCTTGACAACAGCGATTATCTTGCTTTTTGCATTTATATCCTTAGTGCTTAATAGGGTGCCTGGCACACAGTAAGCGCTTAATAAATGCTTTTTCATTTATGTGCTACTAAGAAGACATGTAATAGTAGCTAACATTTATGTAGCCCTTTAAAGTTCAACAAAGTACTTTCAGTTAAAAATATGTCATTTAGTTTCACGCCACTACCATTGAATTATGTTGCACAGGGAATATCACTCCCATTTTACAGATGAAAAGAACAAAACTCTGAAAAGTTTAGGGATTTATTTGCCCCGATCACACTGCTAGTGTCAGGGTTAAGATTTGAACCTGCACTTCTCCTGACTCCAAATGCAGCGTTCCTTCCCCTAAACCATGTTTTATCTCTTCCGATTTTGAGACGAAAAGTTTTAATTTGGTTTAAACGTCAGCGCCACACTGTTGATGCAAAATCTCTCTCCAGTAGGTTCAGGCCCATCTGGAAATACATGGCCCAAGTGAGCTTCACACTGCCAAAGAAAAACTCATCATTAGTAAACAGAAGTGCTCTGCAGCCTCCCTGCAGATAAAAACAAGTGCTTTTTAATGCACTTTTTAAACAAATGTTTAGCAATGTCTTTTGTTGTTATACCACCTTTGTTTCCAAATATATTCCTTCCTGCAGGAGTGTGCTATTAAATATTTACAACCAGCTCTCCAAAAACCCAACATACTTTTGATTTGCATCATTAACAATTTCCTTATCACTTCCTTAAGTCTAGACATCCAACAAATAATAAATCAAGCTCTGATTTGTAGCATTTGTATTCTGAGGTATAAGCACTGACACTGAAAATTTGATAATAGGCACTTTCAAGGAATTATTTCCCCTAGCAAGTGAGTCATCCCTTGGCATAAAGATTAAAAAAAAAAAAGAGGAAAACAGTTCAACAATAGCAGGTGACCCATCAACTCTGTCTGATGATATGTGCAATATTCCACCCACATAGCCCTTTGCCTCTGCAATGAAGAGAAGGAGGTGAAGATTTCGATTTTTTTCAAGGCTAAGATTGTTCATTTTGATTTATGTAAGTGGTAATTGTACATTTTTTGTCATAGAAAAAGATCTGACTTTGGAGAATAGAGGGAAATTAACTTAAAGGATAGAGAACTCAAAAGACCTTATGGAATATCTGGTACCACCCCAATATTTTATAGTGTCTGGTAAACTGAGCACTGTATCTAAGGGAGTTGTTATTATCATCATCATTATCGTTATCATTGTTGTTGTCATCACCATCATCATCAATGAATAAAACGAGAGTCACAGAGATGAAGTGAATTTCCTGAAGTTACTAAGAGATGCAGACACTGCCAAGGGGCAGAGTTATGAATTGGTACCTAGGTTCTTTATTTACAAATCTAGCTCTCTACCTAATTTATATCTTAAAAAGCAAATGCTATCCCATCAGCCTTTCCCTATGGGAATCCTTCCACCAAAGCAGACTGAAACCTATGATTTGAAAAATTCAGGAAGGTTCCTGAGACACTTAATGGTTAAGTGCTCAGGGTCACACAGCTAGTGTCAGAGGTAAGACTTGAACCCAGGTCCATCTGCTTCTAAGCTCAGCACTCTAGCCACCATGCCACCTACTACCATCTCTAAATCCTCAGGACTACCTCAGAAAAGATTCAAATAGAAGCTATGTGTCTTAAAAAGGTTAAATCAGCTGACCACAGCAGACAGATTAGAAACCTACATATTCACACAGAACGGTTCAATAGAAAAGATAGATTAATAAATGTGTAGTTACAGCACCCGAATTTAAATCTTGGTTCTGCCTGATATTATTACCTGTGTGATCACAGGAAAGTCATTTAACTTCTCTTGGTCACATATCAAGTAGAGCCAATTTATATAGCATTTACTATGTACAAGGCACTGGAGGTGCTGTGCTTAATCTGCCTCAGTCTCCCTATCTGTAAAAGAAGGGGGTTGGACTAGATGACTATTACACTGTGGGCTTCTTGAGAATAAGAGTTGTCTTTTGCCTTCTATGTATCTCCAGAGCTTAGCACGACGCCTGGCACAGAGTAGCCACTTAATAAATGTTTACTAAGCCCCATACCTTAAGTCTCTACAGTTATGAGCTTCTGCTCTCTTTAGTATATTCTTTTTAACTGAACCACAACACTTTACTCAATCCTAACCTTAACCCTAACCTTTTGGTCTTTCAAAGTACTTAACAACATGATATCCTTCATGGTGGCAATATGGTGCCATGGATAGCAAACCAGGCTTATAGGTAGGAAGATCTGGGTTTCAGTTCTACCTTTAAACAATTTTCGCTGTGCAATTCTGGACAAGTCACTTGTCTCAGTACCCCAGGGAGCTCTCTCAGAGCCTTCCATTGCAGAAGAGATGACTGACTTACATTTCTGAAGGGGTCTTCTTTATCTAGAGTTTGCTACACCGGTGGAACCACAGATCTAACCACACCTCTAGACCAAAAGTGAAACACAACCTCACCTTCAGGGTCCCTTACTGCATCTAAAACTTTGGCACTATTTGTTATTTATTTTTTTAAAAAGTGCTTAAGGAATAATTCCCCCTTTGAAGAGAAGGAGGGATAAATTTTATTCTCGTCTTCATCTTCCCAGTACTCAGCACAATGCCTGACGTCAAGTAAGTGCTTAATAAAATTTCTTTTTTGAGTGGAAATGAATTTCCAGAATGCTACAGACTTCCATGAGAGCTCTCATTAACGGAAAGAATTAAGCACAAAAGCTAAGAACTGTCTCTTCATTTTCAAAAAATGCCATCTGCTTCCAGCAGGGGTTCTTAACCTCTTTTGTGAATATGGCCCCCTTCTCACAACAATGTTTTTAAATGCTTAAAATAAAATGTATAGGATTACAAAGGAAATCAATTATGTTGTAATACAGTTATCAGAACATGAAAAAAGTTCAAGCCCACTTTAGGAACCTCTGGTCTACAATTTGCTTTCTTAGAATCTTAGTCTGGCTTTCTATTGGCTTGTCTGTATTGATTTGCAAGATTTCTTTATAGCTGCTAAACATTACCCATTTTCTAGGCCCTATAAAGGAATCCCTAATTGTTCACATGACCTTTGGTTAAGGCTGATGAGAGAGAAGATTCTACTATAGCACAGACGAAGATGGCAATATCTCATGCCATACTCTCATAAAGTCAGCTATAGCTTCTTTCTCCTAGTAATTTGGCATACTCCTCTTTAATGCGAGTATGAGGACATAGGTACCTCGGCAAAGCCTTCATTCTGGTTATTTATCCTTACCCAACGTCAGGGGTCAGAGAGAGGTTGAAGGGGTCACTTTAATTTCCTGTCCATTCCCAAACCTGATTCCGATTCTGTTCCTCCCCTACCTTGGGAAGGCTGAAGCTGGAAAGATTAAGGCTTGAGAAGGTGCTGCAGGAGGACTGTGGTTTTGCTTCCAATCTTGAATACCATGTAAGAGGGGCTGCAATTACTCAAATGTTTTTATTCTGAACTAAGGGACACCAAACAAAATGATCATTTCAGAATTATTTTTTAAGTTGATAACTGATGAAAAATATGTTTTAAGTAGTCACAACTCAGCTCCTGTGATCTGCTGATAAGAATGGGGAATGTCAACAAAAAAGGTCGGAAGAAAATACTCATTTTGACTTTCGGGTAACTTTAAAGTAAATGCACCTGTTTGCAAACAACCTCTACCCGAGGTGCTGGCCGGGAGTAGTCAGGACGCCTCAGGATATTGGCTTCACTTTCATCAGAGCCAGATGCGCCATGAGCCTCTGTGAATGAAGGCCACCCGGTGCCGGAGCAGAATTTTTTTTCAGAACTGCAAAACAGATCAACAATAGTCAAAACTGTTATTAAGTAGTCCGCTGTTACCACACAAAGCACATTCTGTTGGCTCATTTTGCCAGCCAAAAGAAAACCCAAAAAATGAAATGCTATTTCCTCTTCCTGGCCCATACCAGTTTCCTGTTGTATGACTGAAAAGCGGCATGGCACAGTTAAAAGACTCCTCTTAGTGCTAGAAACTGGGTTCAAATTCTAGGCAATACAGTGTGGAGAGCTCTGGGCTTGGAGTCAGATTCTGTCTCAGACACTCACTAGCTGTGTTATCCCGGGCAAGTCATCTATCCTCTGTTTGCCTCAGTTTCTTCATCTGTAAAAATCAAGGGTTAGACTCAATGACCTCTGAGGTCCCTCACAGCTCTAAATCTATGCTCCTAATTCTTGCTTTTTATTATATACCTGCCATGTGATCATGGCCAAGTCACTTAACCTCCTCAGTTTCCAAGGTATATCTTTAAGACCCTAAGTTATTAATGAGCAGAATGTGGCCAATCTGCATCAGTGAAAGGAATTTAAATTGACGATCTCACAGGTCAGAACAAAAATGATCCCCCTCTAACATTTAACATTAAAACTGTTTGGTAAATCTTTTAGTGTTACTTTGACACTAAGATCTAGCTTAATCATATAATAGTTACATTTACAGTATCTTGACATGTTGGGGGATAATTCTGCTTTTGAAAATATTGACACAGGATATTGGCATGACAGATATTAATATTGGTGGGAAAACCAGAGGTAAGGAGGGCAGGAAGATTTGTTCCCTTAGTTTCCACTAAATCAAACTAGTAAGAAAGTTGACTGTGGTGTTCTACTTCCAGGAGCTAAGACGGTGGAGTGAAAAGGTAGTCACTTTCACTCTCTGAAAACCCAGAAAATATCACCCCAGAAAAAAAACCCTGGAACACCTGAACTAGAAGAAAGACAGGGAGCAGCAGTGCAGCAGCCGAGCAAACGGGTCTCCCAGTGCCTCAGCAAAAATAAGGCAGGCAGAACTACAAGGGTCCCCAGGCAGATAAGCACCCTGTCGCATTCATCTGAAAGGAAGTGAAGAAAGCAACCTAAAGGCTTCCTAAAGCCCCAGGCTTGCTGGTTCCAGCCCAACATCAGGTGAGCTGTCGGAGCCCTGCAGCCTCCAATTGTGAAGAAATGCTGAAGCTCAGGTGGTAGAGCAAATACCAACACCTGGACCTCTCAGTGCCTTGGGGGGGGGGGGACTGGTAGAAACCAGCTCATAAAACTACCAGGTGCCTCGGCACTCTACCAAAAAGGAATCTCCCAGTGTATTAGCAGAAACTAGGGAGACAACACAGCAGGGGGGCCCAGGCAGATAAACACCCTGCAGCACCCATCTAAAAGGAGCTGAAGAAACCTAAAGGAAAGGAAAAGCAGGCAACCTACAATTGCCTGAAAGTTCCAGCCTTGCTGATTCCAGCCCAACAGGAGGTAAGCTGCCAGAAACCTACAGCCTCCAATTGCCAACATAAGAGGCCCCAGGACACAAAGCCAGTGACCAAGACCTAGGCTCCCAACACAAGAAGCTTGGGTCAATGCCCTCTGTTTCCCAGCAGGAGAGCTCAATCTTTTTAAAGGCCAGGGAATAAAGAAACACCATGAATAAAAAGAAACGGACCATAGATTCATATTATGAGAAGAGTGAAGATCAAGACAGAAATTCTGAAGAGGACAACATTGTCAACAAACCCACATCTGCAACAACAAAAGGGGATGTGAACTGGTCTGAAGCCCAAAAACCCTTCTTAGAGGAGCTCAAGAAGGATTTTAACAGTCAAATGAGAGAGGTAGAAGAGTCCTTCAAAAATAAAATTGGCCAATTGGAAAAAAAATACACTGAAGAAAGTTGACTGTGAGAAAGTCACATGTTTAAAAATGCCCTTTTTATTAAAAGAGAGATAGAAATGGGATACTTTTTTTAGTGATCAAATAATTCCACATATAGTCTTTTCCTCTGTTACAAACCCAGAGAAGTTCAGAGTGTGATCACATGAACACCAGCAGCTATAAGCCTCACTGTGTGATGAACAAGCTAGAGATGGGAAACATGGTTTATTATTTTATTAGTTGTGTGACCCTGGGCAAGTCAACTAATCTCTGTCTGCCTCAATCTCCTCAAGTATAAAATGGGATAACAACAGGAACTATGTCCCAGGGTTATTATGAAGACCAAATAAGGTAATATTTATAAAGCACTTAGCATAGTGACTGGCACATAGCAAATGCTTATTTCTTTCCTTTCTTCCTTCCCTCTTTCCTCTCTTCCTCCCTCCCTTCTTTCCTCCCTCCCTTTCTCCATCCCTTCTTTCCTTCCTGCCTTCTTCCCTCCCTCCATCTATATGCCTACTATTTCTCAAAACAAAAAGTATTCTAAGATACAACATTCATCTGATCCTATCTGACCTAGAAAAAAAAAAGACTCAGGAGATGTTCTGTTATCACGGCCCTTCCCTGCCCAAATATTCTATATTGACTCATGTTTGCTGATATTTGCTAAGAAAATTCATCTTATTACATCATGGTTTCATAAATGATAAATCGTATTCATCGTTCAGGCCTGAAAACTAGAGAGAAACCGTTGCAAGTAATTCTTAATTCCAAAACAATAATAAAAAGCCAATTTTCTAAAGTTGACAGTTTTATGGGAATAAGTCCTTTGTAGACATAACTAGCAGAATCTAGATATATGCCCTAATGGGACAGGCCCAAATTGTACAAACATATGAACAACCATATTTAGGAGGTTTTAAAATTTAAGAGCATTTAGAAAAGTCTATTCCTACATTTAAGTGACTGGCACACTTTAAGTAACACAAAGTAAGAAATAGGAGTATTCTGGACCTATCCCTACTTATTCCTAATTTATTTTTAATTTCAAACTCTGGCAACTCCCTACTTCCCCAAATCAATACACAGTGACACCTAGTGGTACATGGTAAAACTCACATCTCAGAAGATTTTCCATTAATTTTATGGAATTCACAACAGGGTTTTAAGCAATATCTTTTACTTGCCTACCCCATATATCAGACCAGGATGATCTGAAACCAAAGTTAAGGGAAATTTTCAGTTTATATCTATTTTAAGGATAATTTTTTTTTTTTAAATTGTGAAATATGTTTCATGACCCCAGGATAATTCAAGGAGAGTTCAATACAACTTTACATTTACTGAAAACAAAACAGATTTTCATGAGCACTTCAAAAGGTAGCTTATGGAACAGGGAGACTGTTACACAACCCTATGAAGCAAGACTCTAGATCCCCCTGGCCATTCATTACTTTTCCTTATGTTTACAAATAAATTAAGAGTTTTCAGACTTGAATTTGGGTAAAGGGGAGCTGCCAAAGAAGTCACTCAATGTTCAAGCTAATGATCACACAGTCTTATGAATGAGTCTGGAATGTCAAGGACTTCTTGTTCGGGATGGAATCAGGAAAAGAGGGCAGAGTGATTAGTTCTCACTGTTAGGGTTGGATAGACAGCCCATGGTCATTCATTTATCCCACAAATATTTATTAAAGGCTATTGTCATTGTTCAAGCCAATTTTTATGGTTGACTACAGGTCAAGTGGGACATCTTGAATCTAAATCCTAGCCCAGCTTGGGAATTTGCCTACAAAGTGGATGGGAAGATAAACACGAACAAAAGGTACGAAGGCTGAGACTTCTTAAGTCTAAGCCAAGCTTTGAATTCCGTTTCTTCTTCTCTGCCTTTATAAAAGGGACCACTTTGTCACTTGCCTTTTTAACATAGACACCTCTGCAGTCAACTTTCTTACAGGTTTACTTTAATGGAAATTCAGTGAACATATTGTCCTTTGCATCCTCTATCTTCTTTTGACATACCTCTGTAGAGAATGAAGCCGTGGTGCGTGTGTGTGTGTGTGTGTGTGTGTGTGTGTGTGTGTGTGTGTGTAGGTTTTACTTCTTTATAGAGAAACACTTTCCCAGACTTTGCAAACTGGATACTTCAAAGAAAACCAATTCCCAATAAAACCAAAACTACACAAAAACTGTCAGAAAAACCTCTTCCATTTCAAAAAAGGGAAAAAAATTAAAATTACACATTAACAAGATCCAGACCTCACACAAAATATCTATGAAAATTTTGACTACTGAAAATTTAGATATTCAAGAATTGATTGTTCAATTTTTTAAAATACAAAGTGGCTTCAGCTTCTTTCATCTATTGTCCACCTACGTTGAGCTAATATCTATGAAAGAGCTATTTAGCTTTGGAGTATATATCTAGTTTTCATGGTCTACAAGGTAGCATCGACCATGCCTACCTTCTGAGTAGCTTCTTTCCTGACAGGATAAGCGTGATTGCTAAGAGTGATTTTAGAGATGCCAGCATGTGCAGCAATCCTGAACTGTCAATCACTAGTAGCATACCTATGATCTCCCCTGCTAAGTTAAAGTGCATGACTTGAATCAATGTGAACAAATGCTCTTCTAGCATCTGTTTCTATTTCTGTGGAGAAACAGCCTTCAGCATGGGAGCTGTAAGAGGGAATCTCAACTTACTGAGCTGTAGAAGGGAGACAATAAGAATAATAGCTAATATTTATACAATATTTCCTACAATCCTGGGAAGTAGGTGCTGTCATCATCCTTATATTACAGATGAGGAAACTGAGGCAAAAAGTGGTTAAGTGGCTTGCCCAAGGTCACATAGCTGGTAAGTGTCTGAGGCTGGGTTTGAACTCAGGTCTTCCTATCAAGGTCTAGTGCTCTAATCATTGAGACACTTTGCTGCCATTAAGTGGAAAGATTTCTGGATCTGAGTCACAATACTTGGGTTCAAGACTTGGCTCTTCCTCTTACAACTTGAATAGTCTTAACTTCTTTGGGTCTCAGTTTTTTCATCTATAAAAAGAAATGGATGATCTAGATGGCCTTCCAGGCCATTTCTGGTTCTAAATCTCTAATACTAAAGTAGTGTCCAGTTATGAAGGGCAGACTAAAAGACTCACGATGGTGAAAATATTTAAAAAGATATAAATGTTTCAAAGCATTATAAAATATATAGTAGATATTATTGCTTGTTGTTGTTAAATATTGATTATTTAAAATCAAAAAGTTTTTGCACAAACAAAACCAATGCAACCAAAATAGAAGGAAAGCAGAAAACTGGGGGTAAATTTTGCAATAATTATCTCTGATAAAGGCCTCATTTCTCAAATATATAGAGAACTGAGTCAAATTTATAAAAATGCAAGTCATTCCCCAGTTGATAAATAGCTAAAGGATGTGAACAGGCAGTTTTCAAAGAAATTAAAGCTATCTTTGTCTAAAGTCATACAAAAAAATGCTCTAAATCACTATTGATCAGAGAAATGCAAATTAAAACAACTCTGAGGTACCAGGTATTGGGCGGCTAATATGACAAAAAAGGAAAATGTTGGATATTGGAGGGGATGTGGGAAAACTGGGACACTAATCCACTGTTGGTGGAGTGGTGACCTGATCCAACTATTCTGGGAGACTTTCAGAGCTTTCTTTCTATTCGGAGAATTTGGCATATCTTCTTCCCCCTTGCGTTACTTTCTCTCTTCAGCTTTCCTTTCGTCCTTCAGTCAAAGTGAGACAGCTGTAAGACAATAAATAGCCTCTTCTCCAGACCAAGTTTGAGACCCTATATTTCTAGAGATCACTCCATTCTTCATATTATTTGAGAGATTATCTGTGCAGTCCCAACCAAAGGAATTTTAACTTACAAATGAAGATCCAATAAGTAGTTAATTCTTCCCTTTCCCTCCAAACTTTTTAAAAGTTTATCCTTAAATGCTATCTCTTTGCTCTCCTAACAGCCCTGGAAGCATGTGAATATTTGTCTAACTACTTTGTTTTTTCTTGCTCATATGGACATTTTTCTTTCTTAATTTTCTTTTCTTAATGAGTTTGCATGTCAAATGCCTTGCTTATCCTTGGGTTCTTTAGAAGAACAAACTTAATTTCTTCCCTTTTGCTACCATTTCATTCTTTTGCATTTACAGTTATGGTTAACTTTGCAGGGTATGTTATTCTGGAGTAAAAAATTATTTCCTTTGCTTTTTAGAATATCATATTTTAATGTTTTCCTTTTGTTTCTTGCATACGAGTGACAGCCTTCAGTGATTCTGACTTTCCCTGGTGTGTGAAGGGATTCTGCTTGACTGCTTACAAGATTTTTTTCTTTGTTTGTTTAATATTAGATTTCTGGAGTTTGACAGTGATGGCTCCAGGTGAGCTTTCTGTCTCTCAATGGTTGAGGAATCTACTGGTCTGTATATTTACCCTATGTTTCTAACACTTCTGGAATACTTTCTTGCACAACTTCCTAAAGCTTGGTATTCAGAATTTTTATTTTATTATATCTCTCTCCTCTGTCCTCCCCACCCAGAGAACTGTGATTCTCCAATTATCTGGATGCATTTTATCCTCAAAGTCCGTTGTGTTGGCTTGTAGAAAGGTCAGTTTTCTACCAATCGTCTAGACTTTTTGTTTTGACATAACAATCTTTCTTCCATTTTTGCCATTTCTGTTCCTTCCCCCCCCCCTTCCCAAGAATCTATGTTTTGGAGAGATTCTCCATACTTTGTCCTTATCTAGTCTCATCAGTCTTACTGATTTCTTTTTCTTTTCTTTTTTTTTTTTTTGACAGCTCTAGTTCTATTTCTTCCACTAATTCTTTTACTATTCTGCTGAATTGCTGTGGAGCTGCTTGCATTTTTTCACAACTTCCAGGAAGTCTCATGGTAATTATTGCTGTACATTTCTTCTCCTATTAGGTTTTCAAATCACTTCTTTCATTCCATTTTACTTATTCATTATATTGGAGACTCCTTTGGGTTGTGTGCCCACTTTTCTTTTTAATTAGTATCTCTGCTGGGTTGTTTTTTTGAGGGGGGATAGTTTTTCTTGCGATGATTTTCTCCCCGCCGCCCCCCCCACTCTGTTGTTGGTTGCTACTTTTATTGTATTTGTTGCATTTCTTGCTATTTGGAAAGATACTAGAGGTGGGCAGTGAGGAGGGAATGATCCAGGCTTAACCATCGTGAGCCCTGAGCTACCTTGACAGAAATCCTCAGATGCTAGACCTTAAGGCTAGCATTCATATAGAACTCTGAGGTTTGCAAAACACAGTAAATACATTATCTCAAACTCCCTGCTTCCTGAAGCACCTTTTTTCCAGTTTTTGTTTGAACTAATTAATAAAGTTTTCCCGAATATCCAGCCTGACATTTGCTTTTGTGCAGCTTCACACTTCTCCTGATTTTGCCTGCTGGGACCAAGAAGAACAAGTCGAATCTTTCCTTTATAGCCATGACATCTACCCTCCCTCTTACTTTTCCCAGACTAAATATCCCCAGTTCTTTCACTTCTCTCTGGAACAGCATTTTCTCAAGTCCCCTCACCATTTTAGGCAATCTCCTTTTGAAATATTCAGCTTGTCAATGTCCTTCCTAATACGGGGTTAGCATCCCTGAGCCTTAGTTTTCTCCCCTGTAAAACTGGACTGGGGCAGCTAGGTGGTGCAGTGGATAGAGCACCGGCCCTGAAGTCAGGAGGACCTGAGTTCAAATCTGGTCTCAGACCAGAGACTTGACATTTACTAGCTGTGTGACCCTGGGCAAGTCACTTAACCCCAATTGCCTAAAAACAAACCCAAAAAACAAAACTGGGCTTCTAGCTCAGCCAACTTTTGAGGGCTGCTGAAAGGATAAAATGAAATGAAATAAGTGAAAGCACTTTGTGGACCACAAGCCACTCTGGAGAAGGAAGAGGTCACTAATTAATAGCTTCCATTTGTAGAATATCTACTTCCAAGCAATTCCACATACATCATCTCATTTGATCTTGCACAAAAATCCTGTTGTTGCTGAGCTGTGCAGGGCAGCTATTATCATCCATGAATTGACCAACTAACAGCTATAAATCGTAGGTTTGGCAAGAATCCTCCTTATATAAATGAGGAAATCAAGTCTCAGAGAAGTTGAGATCTGTTCAGGGTCTCAGAGTTTATAATTCATCACTAAGTGCTCAGTACGGCAACAAGAGTAAATTGACAACCCATTCGAGGAAAAACTCCTTAACTTATTTCATCTATGTTCAAGCATATTGTTAAAAAGAAAAAAAAAGCAGCAAATCAAGCCTTGTAAAAATCTGTTAAACATGCTCTTTATTTTCTTGCCTCTCTGACAAGCAGGATCCTGCTAAAACTCTGCACTTGGGAGTAGGCACATCTCTTTGGCATTTTTTTAATCTAGAGACGTTTTGGTGCTCAAGACATGTTTCTCCATCTTTATGAGACCTTAGGTCTCCGGGATAACCAATGTCAATGGCACTGTGGAAATGTGATTTGCAAACTGTGTAAAAATTAACCTATTTAGCCTCAATTAGCTCACATCATTTTAGGGCTGACTGCCATCTCAGATCATTTCTCACAAGTCACTGATGGGGTAAATGAATCCAGGCAGAGGCCTGACTATCAATGAGAATGAAGGAAAAATCAATCCTAATCTCCATTCATCCTTTGATGGCAGGGGTCTGGCCTTCCCCAAGTCCTAATGCAGCCCACATTAGCTGCAGTGCTGAAAAACCCAATCTGTTCAAGGCTAAGGGGACATAATGAAGTACTGTCTAATGGGAGATTCACAGAGCTGGCTTGATTTATATTTTATTCTAAACCAATTTAGAGGAGATGCACAAGAAAGGAAAACATCTTTGAAGTTCTAAAAAACAGGACTTCAAAGATGTTTTCCTTTCTTGTTCATCTAATCTACTTTTTTTTAGACTGTTTCCTGCATGTCTAAACAAAAAGCCTTTGTTGTGAGAGTTCAGATCCTGATTCACTTAAAAGAGGCTTTGAAATCAAGGGACAATTTAATTTACCTTTTAACTCTACAGAAAAGGGCATGGTATTCACCACTGTCAAGTACTTTGGTGAATCTATTCTCAGAAAATACTACATTTCTTAAATTAAGTTATAAATCCATTTTCTCCAGTAGGGCTACCATTTTCATCTCATGGTAATGGAGCATTATGGAATTTTTCCCCATACTTTTTTTCCCTTAAAAAAATTCTCCTGGCTTTGTCTTCAGGTGTCCACTAATATCTTGTACTTTATAATTATTGGACACATGGAAGGAAAAACACAAAGCTAGACTAAAAATAATCATAGGTCCACATTTTACAATAATACGTTATAAAAATTATATTATCTGCCTTCAGCAGAGCTTCTCAACTTTTTTATGTTTTTCATGTATTCTTTTATTCATGGATCCCTTTGGCATGCTAGGGAAGTCTAGAGATTCCTTTTTCAGAATAATGGTTTTAAATAATTGAAGGAAATGCTAAAATTCAGCTAGAAGTTAGTGAAAGTAAAGATGCAATTTTTCCCTCACCTAAGTCCATGGGTTTCACACACCCCTCCCACATATCCTGAAGGTTCATGGACACCAGGTTATCAATTCCTGCTCTGCTCAAATTCTCTCTGTTATTTATAGCAACTCCCAGATTTGGGTAATTAAAATTAAAAAAAAAAGACTTCAAGTCTTTGGGCATTGACTTTAGGCATCACTGACTTCAAGTCAGCACACAGTACCAAGTAGGGTTTGGAGCATGCAGAGTTTTCCAGGTATGGTGAGCTCTCCTCTCCCCTCTCCTTCTTACCTGAACAGTGGACTGTCACAGCAAACACAGTGATACATTCCTGGCTCTGCATTATTCAAAAGGACTCCACTGAAGGGCTGCAAAATAAAGAAAGGCTGTTGCTTTCTAGGCTCCATGTCAGGAACAAGCTCTACAGTATCATATTGAAAAAGCAGAGACAAGTCTTAAAATTAAGGCCACAACTCTGAAACAGGCCCACACCTCTAGGAATCCCTGTGCCAACCTGACAAGCAACCCAAATATCCCAGGTGAGAAAATTGCATCGGGCTTCTCTAGAAGATGCCGGCAGGCTTATTTACAGCTCAGTCTTTATTGTGCCAAATATTCAAATTACAGCATTAATAATGCTTTGTATTTATGTAACACCTTTCATCCAAGAACTTCAAAGTGTTTTAAAAAGCAGGAGACCAAAGTCTCATCCTCTGAAACTGTGTAAGGTTTCAGCCTCCATTCCAAAGGAGCTAATTCAATAGCAATCTACTGGCTGAAGCACTTTGAAATTCCCAATTAAAGTGGGAATATAAATGTATAAAGACATAGCTCAGTGAGGAGGGGAGAAAGTGCTTTGTCTTTAATATGCTCCACGTGACATTTGAGATATGGTATACTCAAAACATGTTGAATATGAGGCTGGGCTCTCCTTGTGACCATGCTGGCCACATCCCAGTTGAAAAGCAAGTCTTTTTGGAACTTTGTATACCCAGTGCCTGACCCATAGTAGACGTTTAACAAAAGCTAGCTGATTGACTTGGTAGCTGCATTAACTAAATGTGACCGGGCTTTATAACTTTAAAAGGAATTCAATATGGAACCAGAGAACCGTTGAGGCACGGGAGAAGCTGAGTCAATAATTAAAGAAATACATTATGGTGACTGCACATTGGAACCTGTCTTTGTCAATCCTTTTGGCCACCTCTTTCCTCCTTTGAATCCTTCTACTCTTTACTAGTTGCTCTAGAAACACTCAAGTTACTAGCCCAGGGCTAGGTGAGAGCTATGAATACTATCTAACAGAAAGAAAGTTTGGATCCAGCCCCACAAGGCTAGCCAAAAGTCCTAAAGTGAAATCACTAGCAGCCATGGGAAGTCAAACTTGGGGCTTCAGAGCTTCTCATGTGTTTCAGACTCAGAAAACTCAAAGGTCAAACATCTAGACTCCCTATGGCAGTTTTACCACTGTGTTTTGTAGTGTTCTGCATAAAGGACAATTTCAAATTAACCTAGTGAGCAGACCATCTGGGCACATTTGGACTTTTTCCCTCTGCAAACCCTAAAATTAGCTGTAGAAATCAGAGCTAGCTCTTCTGCCAAGAGGATCTGGCACCTTGTTTTATGGGCAGTCCCACTCTGAGCTTCCATCAGGAGCACTGATTGGCATCTGTAATGAGGGGAAGTTTCTTAAATTTGTGGCTCTCGGGCCTGGATTCATAAAATGCAGTAAAGGGGCATCTTTATTTGCATTTTAAAAAATATCCAACCTGCACACTTCAGCAACCAGACTATATCGGCCTATGCAAATATTGCTCATTCTTCAGGACAAAACTAAACTAGAACCTCCTCCTTCATTTTCTCTGGTTCACAGTCATCTCTCTCTATACTGATGTCCTATACTATGTAACCTTGCCCTGTAACATTCATCATGCGCTACCTTATATTGTCATTTAAGGTTCAATTGTGTGTGACTGATCTCCTAAAATTGAGTGTAAGCTGCTTAAAGGCAAGAACTGCCTGGCTGGTACTTCTTTGGTTTTTATGAGGATTAGATGGAGATAAGGTCCTTAAGACACTTTCTTTAAACCTTCAAGTACTATGGAAATGTCAGCTATCATCATAATTATCATTCCCTGAGGTACAAAAGTACTTGGTAAGTCATAAGTGCTATATAAGCTATTAGGATTGTAGGCTTTCTGGATATTTATTTAATAAATCTCACTGGGGCTCACAAGTTGGACACTTTTTTTTTAACATGTGGAATATAGAAAATGATCAATTCCAAAAGGATTTGCAACATGAGTTCAGATTATAGACTGTGTTCATTTTGTAAAATAGCCAAACACATAGGGCGTGTTATATACGCCATCTGCCCAAGAAACCCACAAATTTATTCTACTAAACATCTGGCAGCTCATCTCCAGTATCTAATACACACACCAAACGTTGTCTGGCAAATGGGCCCAGGAGCCCTGGGGGTAGCAGTGCCTCTTGGACCAGTGTGTGCCCGGCCTCCAGCCTTCACAGCCATCATCCAGGGAAGCGATTCTTGTGGAGAAGGGGCTAGCCAATCCCACCAACTGCCAACCAAGTGCGTGCCACACACAGGGCAGGCATGCCAGCCTAGCTAAAGCAGCAAGGAGGAGAAAAAGAGAGAGACAGAGAGAAAAATGGAGATAGAGAGACAGAGACAGAGACAAAGAGAAGAGAGAGACAGAGAAACACAGAGAGAGAGAGAGAGAGAGAGAGAGAGAGAGAGAGAGAGAGAGAGAGAGAGAGAGAGACAAGGAGACAGAGACAGGGAAGCAGACACAGAGTGAGACAGAGAAGAGAGACAGAGACAGAGACACAGAGAGAAGAGAGACAGAGATAGACAGAGACAGAGACAGAGAGAGAGGCACAGAGAGAAGAGAGACAAACAGAAACAGAGATAGAGAGAGACAGAGACAAAGAGAAGAGAGAGACAGGCAGACAGAGAGACAGAGAGAGACAGGGAGGCAGAGACAGAGAGAGAGACAGAGACAGAGACACAGAAACAGTGAGACAGAGAAGAGAGACAGAGAAAAGAGATAGAGACCCAGAGAGAAGAGAGACAGAGACAAAGAGAGAGAGATAGACAGAGACAGAGACAGAGAACATAGACAGAGAGAGAAACAGAGACAGAGACAAAGAGAAGAGAGACAGAGACAGAGATACAGAGAGAAGAGAGACAGAGGTAGACAGAGACAGAGAGGCACAGAAAGAAGAGAGACAAACAGAGGAACAGAGATAGAGAGAGACAGAGACAAAGAGAAGAGAGAGACAGAGAAACAGAGAGAGACAGGTAGGCAGAGACAGAGAAGAGAGAGACAGAGACACAGAGAGAAGAGAGACAGAGATGAAGAGACAGAGATAGAGAGACAGAGACAGAGAACAGAGACAGAGACCCAGAGAGAAGAGAGACAGAGAGAGAAACAGAGACAGAGACAAAGAGAAGAGAGAGACAGAGAAACAGAGAGACAGAGAGACAGGAAGACAGAGAGAGACAGAGACAGAGAGAGACAGAGACAGGGTCAGGGAGAGATGAGGCAGGGAGAGATGGGCCAGGCACATCAAACCACCACCACCACCACCTTGACTGCTCTCTCCCTTTGGGGTCCTTGATGGAGACAGTCCAGGACTCAGTCCCAGAGCCTTGGGCATATCAGTGCTTCCAGCCCAGTGCCCTCAGCCATCATTGTGGAAGTTAACCCCTGTGGAGTTGCAGCCTGGCAACTGCTTCTGTAGGGGCTACAGTGACAGCTAATGATGACCCAGAAAAGGGTTCTTGCCACCAAAGTCCTTAGCACTGTCAAATGATTCAATGTTAGAAACTGATATGATTTATCAGTGGAGATGACAATAAAGAAGATGCATCACCATCTGCTTTCCTTCTGCCCTGTAAGGACCATGGGACCTTTCCATCTGACTTGCAGCTGAAACCTTCCATATGCTTTGTCCTCCCCCATTGTTGTGGAGATCCTTGAGAGCAGGGATTGTCTTATTGTTCTATGTGTATCCCCAATGTTTTGCCCATACTAAGGGCTTAGTAAATGCTCTATTCATTCATTCGCCCATTCATTCTGTACCTGAGAATTGGGCCTGGCTTAATAAACTCTGGAAGCACCCCAAAGCACCCAGAAGACAATTATAACTTGTGACCCACTTGTGCTTCAGTTGGTACCATTCCTAAACCTCTGGGAGTGATGGACAAGGTATGGCAGTTTTATTAATTACCTGTCTTCATTTTCATAAAATTTTCTCTTGAAATACCCTTTAAGCATTCAAAAGTCTACAGCAGATGAATCAGGCCAGAGGAGACCATTTCAGCAATATAGTGGGTGGGAATGCTGCTATAAAAATAATCATCATCATCATTTCATTCACCACAAAAACATGGTGAACTAAGTGGCTATTTTTATCCCATTTTATTGCTGAGGAAACAAGAGACTCAAGATACTTGACCCAGGTCCCACTACTTAAATGGACTAGCCAGGACTAGAATTTAATTCAGAATGCATTTGCTCCATATCTCCTGTCTTAGGGGAACTATGCCAGGCACAGACCTGGAATCAACCTCTACTCTCAGCCAGCTGGTACAGTGGGTAGAACAGAGGACTTAGAGACAGGAGGACCTAAGTTCAAATCCTGCTTCAGATACTTAGTAGCTGTGTGATCTTGGACAAGTCATTTAACCTTGGCCAGCCTCAGTTTTCCTATCTGTAAAACAGGGAGAATAACAGCTCCTACCTCATGGGGCTGTTATGAAGATCAAATGGGATAACATACATAAGGCACTTTGTAAACTTTAAAGTACTATATAAATAGTAGCTATTCTTATTTATCACTGTTTTCAAGTCCAGGATTGTACAGTACAGTATACCTAAATAGACAGTCACATGAATTTGCATGGGCAAATGCAAAACTGCAGATATATTAGAGCCTTCCTATGATACTGCCGTGATCTGAGCCACTACTTAGTAAGGCTGTCCCTTCGGATGTTTAGTACCTACATATCATTAGACAGAGCCTCACGAGGAAAATATTAGTTTACATTGTTTTGGATAGATTATAGACAGAGGCAGAGAAGAGTAACTCACATTTATATATCACTTGAAGGTTTACCATGCACTTACTACAAGTATTATTCTGATCCCTGTTTCACAGATGTGGTAGAGACAAAAGTTCAGAGAGAATGACTTGCATGTGGTCACATAGCTAAGACTGGGCAGAATCAGGATTCAGACAGAAGTCCTGAACTCCATTCATCACATCACCCCCCCCAAAAAAAAGTGGATCAGAATTGGACTGGATGAAATGATGTTTCCAGGAGGAATACAGATAAACAATCTCTCTTAGGAGATGACCAAATGCTTAGATTGTTTTATTAGACAAAGATTTCTCCCATCTTGGGTCTGAGGAGAGGTAGCCTGGCACAAGAAGAGGCAGTGTAACATCTTCAAGACTGGGTCTGGAATCAGTTTGAAGCCCAGTTCTGCTACTTATTTATTTGTGTGGCCACAGGTGAGCTTGGGTCTCAGTTTCCTCATTTGTAAACTGAGAAGGTTCCGCTAGATGTCCTCTAGGGTCCGATCCAGATATATATTCCATGATCTCATGGCACAGTGGAAAGGGAATGGAATTTGGGGTCAAAGGACCTGAATATGAATCCTGGATTTGGGGCTTTGACCTTCAAGCCAGATTGCCTCTCTGAGCCTCAGTTTCCCCATTTGCCAAATGAGAGGACTGGACTTGATGATCTTAACTCTAAGCCTAGGATCTTATCATTATTCTTCTCCTCCCTCCCTTCTGAACATCCTTCCCCGCCTCCCTGCCCATATGGAGCAGTTTACCAGTTCCGTTCCCTTTTCTCTAGTGACGTAGTACTGCTCTGGAGTCAATTTCTTTTTCCAGTCAGTGGCTGCCTCACCATGCTTGTTGAGAGACCCTATATTATTTTAAAAAAGAACATTTTTAAAAAGCATGATTCATTTTAATTTTTCCTTTTCCCCCCATTGGTCTTATATAGCATACTATCAATCATCTTGTGGAAAAGCAAAGAGACATTCAGTTCCTTTCTTCCCAGACTCTCACCCTCCACAGTGACTGGGGACACTGCACAAAATGATTTGAGAGATTCACTGGTTTAATGAGACATTTAATAACAAGCAGGAGTCCAGTTGTCCATCCCTGCTAGAGGCAGCTGGAGTGGTGGGGGTGGGAGAGTAGGGGAAAGATTCATTGCTGCAGTTATATACTGAAAACAGCTAAATAAATCCTGATTGAGCATCTAAGGGTAGCACTTGACCCTTTCTGTTCTCTTATTGGTTCCAAAGAAATATTTCCTATTTTGGGTATAGCTAGGAACTATCACAAGAGATTCTATAGAAAGATAACTTAGAGTTGCTATACATCCCTATTGCCCTTCAAAAACTAAGCATGGCTTTGTTTATTGAGGATGGACTGAGGGCAGCTGGGAAGGAGTCATTATGGGGGGAGAGAGAGAGAGAGAGAGAGAGAGAGAGAGAGAGAGAGAGAGAGAGAGAGAGAGAGAGAGAGAGAGAGAGAGAGAGATGGAGACAGAGACACAGAGAAAGAGACATGGAGAAAGAGGGGGATGGAGAGAGAGGAGGCCCTGAGAAGAGAGGGGGAAGGAAGGGAAATGAAGATGAGGAGACATATGTATGGGGGGACAGAGAGAAGAGAGAGAAGAGAGAGAGAGAGAGAGAGAGAGAGAGAGAATGAGAGGAGAGAGAGAGGGAAAGGCTTGAAGGCACAAGCTTCTAGAGGAGATGGGAGAGCTGTTGTTCCTTCTTCATTTTCAAATAGAACCAATTACATCACAGGTGATGTCTTGACTCACTGACGAATTGGGTTTAAGTGAGGCAGGGTTGCACAAAGTCATCAGCCTCACTCTCTCTTCCAGAGTCACTGAAGTCCAGTGGCAGGACAAAAGTCAAGATGATGGTGATGTCCTAGGGTGCAGTGGATAATTTTAGCATCTTCGATGTCTGACCAGGCTCTAAGTGCTCTATAGCCGCCTTCATGGCCATTGGAACAAATTGTTCCAATCCACCCATTCTGCCTGGGGAAGTCTTCACGTGCTTGGAGTAGACATCCCCCTAAATCACCAATGGGTTTGAGGCCTATTGGTTACCCTCAACCTGGTTTAGCCCAGCTGCTGAGACAGTTTTACTGGGGGTGGGGGGTGGGGAGAGGGGGTTACTATAACTCTTTGGAGCCACAGGTAAGAGCTGAGTGTCGAGTGGACACCAAAGGTGAACGAGCAGCCCTGAAAAAGGTTCACAAGCCCTCACACAGAAGTGCTAGTCCTCCCTGAGCACACCATACACCTCCAATGGGAGATCACAGCACCAAAGGCCAAAGAGGAGGGATTGGCCTTGGTAAGGAAAAAGTCTACTTTTTTCTCAGAGACTGGCTCAAAGGAGGAGAGAATGAGGGCTGACACTGAGAAAATTTGAAGTGTAGACTCGGGAAGAAGAGGAAATTTGAGATTCTGAAGTCAGTCTTACAAATCCTTCCTACAAAAAAAAAAAGGAGAAGATTCATTTCTACTGTGCAGCTATTCTCTGCAAGTGAAGTTTACTCACTGTCCACCTACAAGCTGTGTCATTGGTCATCCATGGATACAGTAGGCAGGTAGGGAGCAAGGTTAATAGATCCAGTTAGTTCCCAATAATTAATCTCTCTATTATCTAGTAGTATTTTGGGGGGCTCCATAATATCTTCCTCCTGCCACCATGTATGTGGGGCATTCTGCCCTTGTTCCCCTGCAAATTGGTGTTGACTCAGGACAATAGGTCTACAGATGGAAGGATACTTCGGGGACCTTCTCACCCAACCCCCTCATTCTACAGATGAAGAAGCTAAGACCCAGAGAAATGAAGTAATTAGTCAAGGTCACATGGGTTACAGAAGCTGAGTCAGGATTTGAGCCCAGATTTCTGGAATCTAAAAAGGAACATGTCAACCACGGTATCCATCAGCCTTCTGTCCCAAGATGAAAATTGCCTGGAGGGCACCAAATAGTTAAGTGACTTGCCGAGGTTCACAGACACTGTACATTTAAAGCAGAACTTGACCTCATCTCCCTGAGAATGTTTCTCAACCAAAGCACAGCAATTTGGAAGGTGAGTCTTCTAACATGTATGTATTCCCAAGTCAAATGCATTTGTTAATTTTGAATGATCTATGTTTCTGGATCAATTCTGTCCTCTTTTATTAGTACAGATGATAATCAAGTATTAAGTTTTAGGGCCTCTGCAACCTACTTAACTATACACACACATTTAACAGGAGGAGGTTCCAGAGAAAATCAGACCCATTTCCACACCCCCTGCCTATACAGGTGTAACTCACTGAAAGTAAAGCTATGTGTAGGTATAATGATTGAAAATGGAATTATATTTTTATGTGATGTGGAGGAGGGTACAAGGTAAGGGAACCTTGAGGTGAAATTTCCTAAAAAGCAGAGAAATCTTTTTATAGCACAAATTACTGCTCTATAATACCCCTACTGCTTGAGGGTGTGTGTGTAATAGTAGGTAAGGAGATGCCCTGAGAGAAAGAAGTCCTGCCTCTGACCCTAAGGCAGAGGTTGAGAGACTTTGGGCAAGTCACTTAACTTTCTAAGACTCTAAGATAAAGGGCAGGTACCAAAATGCATTGGTCCAGGGCAGGGGTGGGGAACCTGTGGCCTGGAGGCCACATGTGGCTTTCTAGGTCCTCAAGTGCAGCCCTTCATGTTCTATGAAGTTTGAGTTAAGTCAAAGGCCACACTTGAGGATCTAAAGGGCCACATGTGGCCTCGAGGCTGCAAGTCCCCCACTCGTGCTTCAGGGAGTAACTTGTATCAATGAAATCATAAGTCTAGTTTTTAAAAAATCCTCTACTATATAAATGGAAGGGTTTGAATATTGTCTTTTCTTCAAAATTGCAGTAATGAAATTGGCACTTTTCTTTTTGGATTTTGGAGCTGATTTAACAGCTGAAAGCACCGCATTGGTCATTCACATTTACAAAACAGACCAAAGTTCAACAAAATCTTCCTCCTCGTGACATTTACAAAACAGATCAAAGTTCAACAGAATCTTCCTTCTTGTGATTCCAGAGCATTTATGCATAGCTTCACAAATGAAAGGTTAAGCAGAATATTAGAACACAATCATACTCCAAGAACTGCTAAAAAATTAAAAACAAAACAATCAGCTTTAGTGTTTCTTACCAAAACACCTCATTTAATGCACTAAAATTAGCCTAAATCACTAATGTGCAGTTTAGTGTCATTTTAGAATCACAGATTCTTAGAGCAAGAAGTGACCTCAAAGATCATCTAGTCCAATGCCCTGCTGGAAGTATGAATCTCATCTACCATCCAAAGAACCCCTTATCTCTCTGCATAAGATTCTTAGATCTAGGCAGCCAGCCTAGTCTCTCTCCTAACCTCTAACTCCCTATCACAAACTGTTTATTAGGCATTTTGAGCTAGATATCCTCTTGACATTTCAAACACAACATGCCCCAAACAGAACTCATTTGCCCACAAACCGCCCATTTTCTGCACTACCCTGTCATTGCTGAGGCCCCACCATTCTTCTAGTAACCAAAGTTTCAAACCTTGGTTTCATGTTTGACTCTTCACTCTCACTCATCCCATAGAGTCAATCAGTTGCCAAATCTTGTTTTTTTCTCATTTCAAACTCCCATAGCCACCAATCATCATCTCTTGTTTCTACTGTGGGGTGGTAGCTTCCTTTTTGGTATTCTGGTCTTCTCTCCCCAGTTCCAATCCATGTCCCGCATAGTGACCAAAGAAATTTTTCTAAAGGACAGATCTGACCACATCATCCCCCTATTCAATAAATTCTGGTAGCTCTCCATTACGTCTGGTGTCAAATATAAACTCGTCCACCTGACATTTAGTTCTTCACAACCTGGCCCCTTACCACCTTTCCAGTCATTTTACATGTTACTCCTTTCTGCACACTAGAGTCCAGCTGTTCAGAATATGTGATTCTCCATTTCCTTTGCCCTGGCTGTCTTCCAGGCCTAAAATGCACTCCCTTCTCACCTCAGCCTTTTGGGATTCCTAATTTCTTTCAAGATCAAGTTGGGATGCCATCTTGTCATCTACATGAAGCCTGTCCTAAAACTTCCTTATAAGCATTTTGTATATATTTATATCTATTTTTCTGTCTATCTCTCTATCTATCTCTTGTTTCCCCCATTAATATGTAACTTATTTGAGGGCAGAGATCATCTTGGGTTTTGTTTTGTTTTGTTTTGTTTTGGAGTGTGTGTGTGTTTTTCAGTCCCCAAATACAAAGTTCAAGTACTTGATAAATAATTTTTGACTGATTGATTAAAAAATGAACAGTCAATTATCCACACAAGACAAATTCTCTGATGCTTATTCTAGATTCAAAATCCTTAGTGGAACAAGATAGTCAAGTTAACAAGTATATATTAAGTGCCTTTCAGTCAATAAATCAATAAATAAACATTTATTAAGCCCCTATTTTGTGCTGGACAGAGTGCTAAGTGGCTTTGGATAAAAAAACAGGCTTACAATCTAATGGAGGAGACAATATGTGAACAACCATATACAAGCAAGATATATACAGCGTAGGACTCATGAAGGAAAATGCTATCCATATCCAGATAAAGAACTGATGGACTCTGAATGCAGATCGAAGCATATTTTTTTCATTTACTTTATTCTTTCTCGTGGTTTTTAAAAAATCTGTTTCTTCTTTCACAACTATGACTAATATGGAAATATTTTTTACATGATAGCACATGCATAAAGGATATCAAAGGAGAGGGGAGGGAGGAAAAAAAATTTGGAACTCAAAATCTTGAAAAAATGAATGCTAAAAACATTCTTGACATGTAACTGGGGAAAAAAAAAAATACTATTAAAACATTAAAAAAGAAAGATATATACAGGCTAAATTGGAAAGAATCTCTGAAGAAAGGCATTGGTGTCAAGGGGGACCAGGAAAGGTTTCTTGCATTAAGTGGCACTTTAGGTGACATTTAAGTCAATTTTTTTTATGTTGTTCCTAGCATGTGAAATGTTCTGTCCTAGTCCTAAAAGGAACCAACTGTAACCAAGAAGTCACAATCTAGTTAAGAAGCTAAAACAGAAACTTGCAAAAAGTTATGCAATATAACCCTAATTCCCAGTCAGAACCTGAAGGAGAGGCAGAAAGATCTGAAGCTAGGTTGTGGGGACGATAGAGGGGGCTCCACTCTGAACCCCGAGAAAGACATGAAGGGGGAAAAGAGGATCTCATTTTGCACTTTTGTTAGAAGAAGAGCCGTTCTTAGAATATGCAGAGCCTGCAATTAGGACACACAGCCAAACAGAAAAGCAGAACTGAAACCTGGGGAGCAAGGGTAGAGACAGTTCCGGGCAGGGACTGCAGGAGGAAGGGACAGCTGATGACAGTTGGGGGAGGGAAGAGCTAGGGGAAGGGACAACTGGAGAGGGACAGCTGGGGGAGGGGTAGATGGGAAAGGACAGTTGAGGAGGGGACCCTGGGGCTGGCGGGGAGAGGAGGAGCTGGGGGCAGACCCTGCTGCTCCCTTGGCTCCCCAAGGAGGTCTCCGGACTGCCTGGGCTAGAGGACGGGGTTCCCCCCCAACCCCGGGGCACGGCCAGGCCTGCTGTGGCCAGGGCCTTCTCCCTGCTACCTGCGTCCCCGTGGCCGGCTCTCCCTCCGCCGACGCTGGCGCCTCCGGGCACGGTCCCCGAGGGCAGATCTCTCCAGCCTAGCCAAGACAGGCCTCGCTGAAGGAGTCGAGCCATGTTCTCTGACTGCTCTAGGTGCACTGGCCTGGGCACCGCGGGAGCCCTCTCCAGACCCGCCCCCTTCGGCGCAGGGCGGAGGAGGGGGCGTGCCCCAGCTGCGAGGCGGCGGGAAGTGGGGTGCGCTGGCTGGGGTGTGGGGCTTGGCACCACTCTGCCCAGCCCCAGGAAAAAAGCCGGCCGCGCTGTCTGTGCCCAGGCTGCGCCTGTCGGCCAGCCTCCCAGGCCCGCTTTAGAATGTAAAGGGCAGTAGAAGACCCGAGGCTTGAGCCCAGACAGAGCAAAGGCCCTACCGTGCCACCCCCTTCCGCCCGAGCTCACCAGAAACAAGACTAGGCTTGGAAAAGAGACTTTTTATTTTTGACTTAAATTTCCATAACTTCTGCAGACCGAAGCAGCTGACCGCCCCTCCCCCTAAAAAAGGCTTTAATTTAATCTAAAAAAAAAATTAAATTCAAAAATCATTGAACACCTATGCTGTGCAAGGCACTGTTTTAGATGCTGGGGATATAAAGACAGAAGTGCAAAATCTGGGCCCCTTCTTCAAAGGTCTTACAACAGTCGACTGGGGTATACAAACATGTAAGTAAATAGATTTAAAGAGCACGGACAACCTGTCTTTCCATCTTTATGTGTTATTTCCCTTAACACTCCACAGGCTGATCAAGCAAGGTCAAGACCTTGCTGTCCCTCCCTCACACGTGGCATTCTTATCTCTGGTCCCTGTGCTTTTGCAAGGACTGCCCCTTACTTCTGTGGAGTCCTCGTCTGGGTCCCAAAGAATCACTGTTCGTTTAAAGTTCAGTTCAAATGCTGTGTTTTAAACATGAAGTCTTTATTAATCTCTCTAGCTGCAAATGCTTTGCCCCTTGCCCCTTTAAATTTTACTTTTTTCAGTTAACAAGCATTTCTTTTCTTTCCTCACTTTCCTCTCCTCTGGAAAAATAAAAAACGAAATAAAACCCTTAACAAATACGCATCTTAAAGGAAAACAAATTCCTAGATTGGCCATGTCCAAAAAAATATGTCTTATTCTCATCATGGTCTTTCATTTCTCTTTTTGGGAGTACATAGAAGACGTCATGGGTCATTGCATTGATCAGAGTTTTTAAGTCTTTCATAACTGCTTATTTTTATGGTGTTGTTGATGTTTAATTTGTCATATGAGTGTGTGAGGTAGAATGTCAGAGTTATTTTAATTTGTATGTCTTTAATTATTAGTGATTTGAAGTTTTTTTTTTACATGGTTGTTGATAGCTTGGATTTCTTACCTTGAGAACTGCCTGTTTATATCCAGTTTTTCAACTGGAGAGACTTCTCCTCCAAATTGCCTTTTATTCATTTCATATGAACTTGAATGTTAGATCTGGGCTATTTCTTTCTAATATGTTGGGCCTCCAGAATGAATCTCAGGTTCTCTGTAGGTACTTTGGATCCACATCTACTCACATGTTACTTTAAGTGCCACAACTGATATGTTTATCTTTTTCTCTAGTCATTCTACAGACGCAATTCAAAGCAAAGGCATTTCGTGAAAACTCTAGGTAACAAGGTATGCAATAGAACATTTCCCCATAAACCTTGGGAACACTTTCCTACAAATATACACACCATCGTGAGGAAGAGCAAACATGCATAGGTGTCATTCATGAGAGGCCTATGTTTGAGGAATATATATTGTATAGCAACTCTGTATAAATGTAGTGCGTGAGTGTACCGTTCATGACCACCATATTTTAGTGATATCCCCAAGTTGTTCTCACTGAGCCACTGGGCTGTGAGTTTCCATTGGATTGGTCCCTGGATGGCTTCTATAATCTCTACTGACCCATTGCCTGGCTGATGCTGTATGTTTAGGCAAGAACTGTGTCTTCTGAACTGTTAAGTGTTAGCTATAATTTTATAGTTACATAATTTCATAGTTACATAATTTAGCTATAATCTTAGCTATAATTTTAAGGCTTTTCAGGACCTGTCTGCTTGGGTATAGTGGCTAGAGCCTCTCTTGGAGAAGGGCAGGCTAATGGCTCTTTGGGGCAGCTAGGTGGTACAGAGTGGTTGGAATGCCAGGCCTGAAGTCAGGAAGACTTGAGTTCAGACCCAACCTCAGACACTTAATAGCTGTTTGATCCATGGCAAGTCACTTAACTCTGTTTGCTTCAAAGTTTCCTCATCTGTAAAACAAGCTGGAGAAAGAAATGGCAAACCACCTCACTATCTTTGCCAAGAAAACCCCTAAGGAGGTCACAAAGAGTCAGATACAACTGAACAACAACCACAGAGGTGCTCTCTGCATTGATTATGAAGTTCCAGCCTTAGATTGTAAGCTTCTTGAGGGCAGCTTTTGCCTCTTTTTTTTAAATTCCCTGTTCTTAGCACAATGCCTGGCACATAATAGGCATTTAAATAAATGTTTATTAATTGATTGGACTGATTGACCAAACCCCAGACTGGAGCAGTAAACAGCAGTCACAATGAGCCCTTTCATAAAATAAAGCCTCTTCTCTTATGCGTAGCATGGGACAATTGAACACATTTTTATTCTTGCAAGTAAATTTCCATTTGGACAATATTTACAATCATAAAATCTTAGTGCTAGAAGGAAATGCAGAAATCATCTTTCATCTCCCTCATTTTGCAGATGAGGAAAATGGGGGCCAAGAGAATCATAGCTAGTTAATAGCAAAGTTTACAATATATTGTTAATAATGAAAACTTTTGAAAATAATAAGGAATAACAAAAAATGTCCCCAAAGATGAAATTAAGTCACCCACACAAATATGAGTTATTAAATGATCCCAAAGACAAATATTCTCTGGCTATAACAATATATTTATAGGGAGTATGGAGAAGAGTTCCCTTGCAGTGTGAACTATTGAGTGAGCAGCAGGAATGAGAATTTCTCACATGGGTTATCCCACACTTGGAAAACATTTTGTAGTCTTTCAGACTGTCGATTCTTTGACAGCAAAGGTTATCTCATACTTAGAAAATGTTGTATAGTCTTTCAGATTGTAGTTTCTTTGAAAACAGGTAAATGAAAATGCTATTTAAAGCTTCATAGCAGACACACAGTGTGTGGTGATTATACAATAAATCACGGAAAGAGCTATGCAATTATTTGAAAGGCTTTACAGGTAGCGCTAGCAAAGTACTACTTGGTTTTTTAACAGAATTATCTAAATTGTCTCTCTAGATCATTCTTAATTCTCCTAGGTAACTATCCACTTGTATTTCTGTTGAAGGGACCACCACTCTTCTGTTCTCTCAGGATCATTAATCTTTGCCTTTTCCTGGACTCCTCACTCTCCCTCACCCCACATCCAATCAATTGTCAGATCTTACCTTTTGTACATACACATTTGTCGTCTATGTTCCCTTCTCTCCACTTATATAGCCACCACTCAAATTCAGGCCCTCATTCTCCCTTGCCTCTATTATTGAGATAGTCTCCAAATTTGTCCTTGTTGCAAGTCTTTCCTTACTCAAATTTATCCTCCACTTAGCTGCCAAAGTGAGTTTCATTAAGCACCGGGTCTCCATCCCTACTCAATAAACTCCAGTGGTTTTTTGTTGCCCTTGATAAAATATGAACTCTGTTTAGCTTTTAAAGCCGTTCTCAACCTCTTCATTCTCCTTGACCTCTCTTCAGCTTTTGACACTGTTAATCACCCTCTTCCCCTGGATGTGCTTGTAGAATGTAAGGTCTTTGAGAGTAGGGACTATTTCATTCTTTATATTTGTCATTTCCTCAATCCCACTACCTGCTCAGCACTGGAAAGTAGTTGGAAAGAAGGGGAAAGGAATAAGCATGTATGTAGCACGTACTACATGCCAATAAATCCCCACGAGGTAATTGCTATAATATAATATCCCCATTTTAAAGTTGAGGAAACTGAGGCAAATAAAGGTTTAAGTGACTTGCCAAGGGTCACATAGCTAATATGAGGCTGGATTTGAACTCAGCTCTTCCTGGTTTCAAGACCAACACTCTATCTAAGACCCTGACACCTAGCTGTCTCTAAGTAAGAACTTAATAAACACACATTAAGTAAACAGTTGGTACCTCTGTTTTGGTTGGGATGCCTCTATAGCTTTATATGCACACATCCCACATAAAGATGCCTTGACCAATGGTGTTTTCATTGATATATTATAATCATTAATATAATTATAACCATTAATATATTATAACCCCCAACTAATTTATGTACTGAAACCTGGTGATAACATTTGAGTTAATCCTATCCCTGGAAGCCTAATAGTTCTCATTTTCTACCTAAAGCATTTCTCAGACTTCCTTCCCACCCTCAAAAGCCCCCACCCACCAAGGAACACATCTTTAACATTTGTAACATTTGTTCCTAATTGCCCTCAGTATTGTTTTATCTGAAATTCTGCTTTTGTGAAACTTCTCTTTTGATCACCACTACCTCAATCCCACCTCACTTCTATTAGCTCCTTCCCTTTTCTTCCCCTTTACCCTCACTACTTCTTCCCTCCCTTCCATCCCACCTCCCTTTTCTTTCCTGTTTTCCCTCCTACTGCCTATAGGGCAAGTTAGATTTCAATACCTAACTGGTTATGTTATTCCCTTCTTGAGTGAAATCTGATGAGAGTAAGGTTCAAACAATGCTCATCTCCCTCCCTTCTTTCCCTTTGCTGTAATAGGTTTTTATGCCTTTTCCTGTAATGTAATTTGCCCTTGTCTGCCTCCTCCCTTCCTTTTCTCTCAGTACCTTTTCTTAGATCAGATTAATCCACTTACTTGGATCCATTTAACCCACTTAATTAGTTTTTTTTAATCATTACATCAAAGTCAACTTATATCCACCCCCTTTATGTATATCCCTCTAACATGGTGTAATAACAGTACAGTTCTCAAGAGTTACAAGTGTCATCTTCCCTTGTAGGGATGTAATCAGTTTGCCCTTGTTAATAACATGTTGTTTCTTTCTGTCCCATTTACCTTTTTATGCCTCATTTGAGTCTTGTATTTGAAGATCAAATTTTCTGTTGAGCTCTGGTCTTTTTATCAGGAAGGTTTGGAAGTCCCCTATTTCATTGAATATCCATCTCCTCACCTGAAAGATCATGCTCATTTTCACTTGGTGCATTCCTGGATTTTTAAGTAAATCCCTGAGAGTACTTTGTTTTCTTATAATTTGTTCCTTTCCCCTCAAAGAGTATAGTACTAGGACAATTTCTGCTTAATTAATTTTCCTCGTTTAGTTATTTCTAACCAACATTATACTACATACCAAAGAACTACTCCTTTTGTAAAGCTTTAAATTAGAGACATCTTAGACACTAATATTATTATTATTATTTTACCTTCAGCCTTTT